AACACCAACTACCTCCTCCTCCTCCTCCTCCTCCTCCTCCTCCTCCTCCTCCTCCTCCTCCTCCTCCTCCTCCTCCTCCTCCTCCTCCTCCTCCACAACCACCATCTGCTCCATACTCGCAATCTCATCAGCACTCCTGACTATCGTCCTAGGTCAAGTTCTCGGAGGGACATGCGAGGGCCATCGATCTGCAGTACGTGACCCGTCGCCTGTTGTGCCATAGTTCTCACCTGCTAACAAGGTCTTTCTTGTCTTCCGCGCGACATTCTTCGCCGGCATGCTGATCTCCAATGGGCTGATGATGACCAACTACACCAAGGCCATGCACTTGACCTCCCCCTTCACCGCGACCGTGGCTACCACCTCCTTCAACTTCTGCATCACGGTTCGATCGCCTCCTCTCTGCACTGATCTTCACCCCTCTACTATCCGCTCCTGCTTTCTCCCCTCTCCCTCACTCGCCTGCCCGTACACCAAACCCCTCACACCCTTTCCTACCCTCAGTTCCTGCCTCTGCTCTCTCCTCTGCTTCCCTGTGTTCTTCCTCTCCTATCGTCTCACCCATCCTCCTCTCTCTCCTCTTCGCCCATCCCGCGTCATGCTGATCGCCAGCATATCGCAGGCACTTCTATCCATGTGGCTCTTCGGCGAGCAGCTGCCGCTGCTGTGGTGGATCGGATTCTCCCTGATCCTCCTCGGAGTCACACTGCTGGCGGTCGGGCAGCGGGGAAAGGAGCAGAAGATGGACTGAGAGGCACGCGAGGTCGACATGGCTGCCATGGCGGATGGAGTGGGGGTTCAATGGGAGTTAATATCAAGACTGCGGCTGCTGGAGACGAGCTGGTCTTGACTAGTCCAGGATCTGGAGCTCTTGTGGGATGTTTGTCTCCAGCACTGTGTCCAGCAGGTCGAGTTTCTGTTGGCTCAGGTTCAGCCAGCGCACGTTCGCGGCCCTCCGAGGTCACCTGGATGGTCTTCTTCATGTCCGTGATGATTTGGGAAGAACGCTGGCAGGAGGGTCAGAATCTCCCTCGTTGATTTCAAATGTTGAGGGACCTGCTTCGCCTCTTCGACGACTTTCAGGATCTCGTGCTCGTTCTCTTTGATGTCGTCCCGATTGATATCCTGGTGGTCATTGAAGTCACCGACGGAGGTCACTGGAGCGACGGCAGGACGTCCCACCTCCTCCGATGCCAGCAGAGGATCCGCACAGAACGCGTCGAGCTCGTCCAACCTCCTGGCCAGCTCCTACAGTTGACGTCACTGCTGAGCGACGGGGGAGGAAGAGCGGACGTGCTCGTCGGCGAAGTTCTTCAAGGACTTGAAGACCTGGGGTAGCAACATGCGCGTCAGTCGAGACGTGGGCAGGCAGGAGAGCTCACGAAGGTTGTAGGGAGGATGATCGGCTCCTCCTGCTCGTCGCTGCTGGTCGTGTGCAGGTAGGGGTGCTGGGCAAGTCAGTGGCGGCAAGTAGGATGCTTCGGGGTTACATAAAATCCGATCTCAGGCTTGGCCTTGATGTTGTCGGACTCTGACGGCATGTCCACCTGGCTGAAGTTGCCTGTCGCCATGTCCAACTGAGGTAGAGGCAGACAGTGAGAAAGAGAGGGAAGGACGGGGGGGGGGAGGGAAGGGAGGAGCACGAGCACGAGCACGAGCACGAGCATGAGCACGGGCACGGGCACGAGCACGAGCACGAGCACGAGCACGAGCACGAGGGAAGGGTTGCGCAGGGAGTTGAGAGCATCCTCGGGGTTGTGGTGACCTCTTGCATCAACGTCAGCATGTTGTCCGTGCTGATCATCTTGGAATATTTTGCGTACGCCCTCCTCGAGAATCTCGACATGATCCTCGCCTTGAACACCACTAGCAACGTCCACAAGTCATCCATGGGGCAGGAGCAGCAGGAGAACTTTCACCAATCTCGTGAAGGACTTGATCGAGGAAGAGGTGGTTGACAAGAACTGCAAGACCGTCCTCACTGAACGAAGGTCAGAGGATGAGCAGCAGCCTGTGGGAACGAAATCTTCTCACTTTGACATTCGCTCGAACTGCGCGACGACATTGGAATAAGCGTCCATGATGATACCAACCATGACTGCAGGAGAAATTGTGTGAGAAAGAAATACAGATGATAGTAAAGAAGTGAATGAGAGTGGAAAAGAATCAGCACAAGGAGGAGGGAGGAGGAGGAGGAGGAGGAGGAGGAGGAGACGCAGGGGCAGGGGCAGGGGCAGGGGCAGGGGCAGGGGCAGGGGCAGGGGCAGGGGCAGGAGGAGGTGCATGGGCTGTGTGAAACATCATTCCAAGTTCTGACCGTTAAGAGCCACAAAGACCATGACGATGAGAAAGATGTAGTAGAAGAGCAAAGCTTCTGCTGGGCCTGCCAGGAAAACAAGGCGGATCAGAACTCGAGGGGATGAGGTCAGGGAGTAACGGGAGGAGGAGAGGAGAGGAGCAGACGGTAGGACCAGGAAGCAGAAACAGGTAGGAGGGAATGGAACAAGGAACAAGAGGAGGGAGAGAGGAGGGAGAGATGGGAAGCAGAGAGAGAATGCAGTGAAGCGAAGGAGGAGTGAATGGAGGAAGTCGATCGAAAGGGATCGCGGATGGCAGGGTCACCATTTCCCGTCTCGTCCTTGGGAAGGCTGTCAAAGACCAGCTCCCTCCCACTCAGCCCGAGGAAGAGCTGGACCATGGACTCGAAGGCTGCCCCGATGGTGCTGAAGTTCGGGTTGCGATACCCCAGGATAGAAACAGCGATGATGGACCACAGGAGGAGCAGGCAGACGATGATGAGGAGGTACTGGAGGATTTCCTGCAGCTCTAGTCAACCCCCCCATGCCATCCTCCTCCTCTTTCTCAGAGAAGCATTACCTTGCGCATGAGGACGAGAGTTTGTGTGAGGACAGAGAGGTGGATGTTGATCCGGAAGTAGTTCAGCAGCTTGATGGTTGACAGCGCTGCGACGATACCGCAGAGGGTGAAGTAAGACTCGACGATCGTCGACGACATGGACAGCTCCAGCCTTTCAGTCCCAGAGAAGATTCCATCGGCCGTGACCCTCAAATTCGGTGCGAGAGGCGTGAAGATCATGTAGGCACGGATGGCGATGAGGATGGCGATGAGGATGAAGTAGATCCAGTCGTAGATCGTCCAGAAGTTCAACAGGATGGAAGTGTAGCTCTGGTTCATGGCTCTGAGGACGCTGTAGTCTCTAATCTCCTGCACCAGGTACCCCAGGAAGCAAGTAAGGAAAACCAGCTCGAGCCCCAGCCGCATGTAGTCAGTCCTGCAAGCGTACTTGTTGATCTCCATGGCCTCGATGAAGTAGGAGGTCGTGACCTGCCCCCCCAGCGAGATCTCCGCGTACAACTCTACTTGCATCAGCAGACCCAAGTTGGGATTGTGACCGACAAAGTCCGTCCTGAGCCACCTTGTCCCGTTGTTGACCCACAGGTTGTCCCTCAAACTCTGCATCTTCGTCCGGCTCTCCTCCAGCTGACCGAGGCCCCCGAAGTACTCATAGTAACCGTTCTCGAAGATTGACTTGGACTCGTATGTGTACACGATGCTTGAGTTCTGTGCGCCCCTGGTATCCGAGCTTCAGGTGACTCAACTGCCTACCACGGAGCTCAATGGTTACCTGAAAGGAGATTTGTCGACTGCCCCGCAACATCGCGCAGCCAGGTAAGTCTGACCATAGCAAGTGCTTTGGAAGGGCTTGAACTTCGGGGCCTGCAAATGGACAAGTCAAAAGAGCATCAGCAGAGGGAACTTGGAGGAGGAGACGTGCCTGAAACATGCATGTGTCTGGTGCTACCCTGCGTTGGGTGATACGGAAACCACCATTCAGCCTAATATGCGACATGACGACTTGCTGATCGATCTTGCTGGCTACTTTGTCGTTGTAGTATGTGCTAACGTAAAAGCTATCGAGCAAGACTGTTTGGTGCCAGTTCCACCAATCTTCAACCGAGGCCACGTCGTACCAAGTCTTGAACTGATAGGATGTATCTCGGTAAGGAGGCTCCACCAACACATTCATCACGGCAGATCTCATTCCGTTGGTAGCATATGCATTTCTCTGCATCAAGATGACTACAAACATGATCGTGAAGAATCCAGCGAACCTGCGATGAGACGATTACAACAAGAAAACAGAGACGACGAGAATCACTTGCAGAATTGACGAAACAATGTTGACTGAGAGATCAACTGTCTGCAAACAATTTTGACTTTCGTTATGTTCACATGGCTATATTCTGCAACGCCAAGAATGGCGTCGTAATCTGTCTTGGGGTCATACCCAGGTTTGGTCCTTCCAAATCGATACAGCGACTTTCTTAGAGTCGTATCCTTGCGCCTCTTCCTGAAGCTGGAGTGGGAGCCACGGCCATTGCTCAACAAGTCACTATTCGAACCTTCGTGTTCCGTGGGATGGCTGTCTCCGTTCGCTGGACTCCCCACCTCTCCGCCAGCCTCTCCTCCGTTCTCATCCCCTGTCTTCGATGTGCCATTGGAGTTGCGCAGCTTGGGAAGGAGCTTCTTGGGAGGAGTGATGCTGATCTCCTTCGCGGCATGACCTTCTCCTCCTTCTACCGCCACCACAACTCCATTCATTCTTCCTCCTACGTCTCCTACCCCTCCTCCTCCCCTCGGCTCTTCCATGACCCCTGATCGCCGATGAGCAAGTTTGACAAGTGCCATCTGACGATCAGGTCCGCCTCAGGATATGATAGTCATGGGCCCGGCCAGTCGTTGGGCCGATCCGGCGATGGGACCGTACTGAACGGTCGGACCGGCCGCGGGCCGGATGGCCCGCTCAGCTCGGCCACTGCCCGGCCAGGGCCGGCCAGGGCTGCCAGTCGGAGTCGGAGCACCACTGGATGAAGGATCTCCAGTTCGTAAGTTTCACTGAGTTCTGATCTTTTACTGACAGTGTAAGCCTCTGGCTTCAGATCAAAGAGAAGTTTCATAATGGCGGATCAGTCGGATGTATCAGGTTCATCTCTCTATCCCTCTATAGCAGTTCCCTCAGATCCTCATCCTACTTTCTGATTCATCCCTTCAACCCCATGCTCCGAGAAAGGGATGTTATTGAACACACAGTGAATACCCTGCCTGCTCCGCGTCTATCAGAACAGATGTTCCCCTTTCTCTCTGCACTCACATACCTCACGTGCTCGATCGTGTTCTCTGGCAGGTTGTCCACAGCAAAGAACTGCAGATCGTCACATTTGTCTGGCTCGTTGTTTACTATCGGTCCCTTCCAACTGTTGACCATGCAAAAGAAGTCCATGTATTCTCCTGCAGTGGGAATGAGAAGAAGCATCGTCCATGCTCAATGATGTTCATCCTCACTCTTCTTGTTCAGTCGGTGCATCGTTGACATCACGGAGATTTCTGCTGGATCTACCTCGATCCCTAGCTCTTCTTTCGCCTTTGCAAGGAATCAAACAGCAGAACGAAGTGCAAAAACAGCACAACATAGGAAAAGGAAAAAATCAATTTTCTGTTGTTCTTCGGTCTCATCCAAGACAGATCAAGCAATAGCTACCCTGCACTCTCATGTTTCTCGAATTCACATGAATTCAATAAAAATCCTGGCCCTTTGTCTCTCTCATTACAAAATCGTCATCACTCGTTACTCACTGGACATTTTGCCATCTTTTCAACTGATGCATTACCTCTCTCATCACGGTCTCGTGGATCCGTTCCGTCGGCCTTACATGGCCGGCAGGTAAACCATACCAACCATCCATAAATCCAGTGTTGAATCTCCTGCTCAGCAAGATCATGGACTTGCTGTCCTTCAGCGCTGTCTTGGGATCTACAATCTTTTCCTTCATCTTCATCATCATTCCTCCCGTCGCTGTCGCCATGTCTTGCCGAATGATCATGTTCGCAGCTGCGAACAAGTGAGCTATACGCCCCATTTCACCGACACAGGTTCACCCCCACCCCCTCAATTGGATGAATCAACATACCACCCCCTCTTTCCGAAACAGAAGAATCACCCTCTACCCCAAAATTTATTATACAGGTGGTGGTACCACCAACGTTTCCTCTATCATATACCCCACCTTGGGAGTTCACCCCTGCCCTTGTTCTGTCATGAGGGGTGGGTTGAACACGACCACCCGTACCACTTCACTGACAATGAAGGCCACTTCTTGTAGCTCTGGTTCACCCATCATCCCCGTGGCACTGCCGGCAAGGCTCACCGGGCCGGGCGGTAAATCCGATCACTGACTCACATGCTACCGTGACCCGGCGGGTATCAGTGACTACTTGCAGTAGCTAGGACTCCGGGGCTAAAATTCCGATGTACGTAACATATAAATAATGCCGTACTGTCACACAGTACCGAGAGTTGTCCGTCACTTAAAGGGTGATCTCCCTTTCAGTAAAAGTACGGGTTCTTTTGTAACACAAATTGCAAAAGATGTAGTAGATACGAATATTGTACCAGACGAATTTGTACCAGATGCTTGATTCTTGTGTACCAACAGACTAACAGTGGTCTTGGTCCCTCCAGCTGGACGAGATTCTATGGCAGGGGGTATGATGACAGCCGGCGAGCTCCTGCTCGTAGCAATGGCGTTCCTGCTGAGCAGCGCACCTTGTTGTGACGCGAGAGTAAGCAAGGAAGAGTTCGAACATGGTTTTCGGCATGGAGAAAGGCGTTCTGTGGTTGCCAAGAACCTTCCCGGAAGACCTCTCATGATTCACAACCCCGACACTTTGCTGCTTCATCATACAGAAGACAGAGCACATGCAAAGCTCAAGACTCGATTCCGACAAGACTCGACCATTGCTCAGCAACAGATTGTGTTTGAGAAATCAAGCAAGAGTCATTACCTCGTTCGAGTGAAATATCCTGCTCCTGCAGATATGCTCTCCCAGTTGAAGGCCACCAGCGGAGACGACTTTGTGCAATACATTCCATACGATACGTATGTGGTTGCCATGGAACTTTCTAGGAAACTTGACGTTGCAAACATGGAGTATGTGGAGTCGATTTATCACCTCCCGTCGAGCATGAAGATATCCAACGACCTGCAGGATTACATCTCGTTGGCGATGAGATCGCTCTCAGCCAAGCAGCCCGAGACAGTCATCAACAGCAACCCCCAGCACCCTGAGAAGCGAGGCACCCTAGACAACAGCCACAAGAAACACAAGAGAAACCAGGGAAACGCGAAGTCTCAGACCAAACAAGACAAATATGGACATGGCAAAGTGAAGGGAGCACCGGCTGGACCTGATGAGAGCGTATTTCTTGAGGCAGCCATCTCAGTTCATCCCAATCATCTGTCTCTAACTAATATGCTCCGATTGTTGGAAAACGCTTTCAGCACAAGTTATGGCAAGATCGCTCAAGTATGGGCGAAAACGAGCAGCAAGCTGACGATTGAAACCAACGCGCAAAATGTTGTGAAGGTTGTAGAGCACTTGGCCAATCAAGCATCGGTGAAATGGATGGAAAAGAGGAAAGGGTACCGCACTATGAACAAGTATTCTTCTTTGATCGTTCAAGGGACCTATAGGTGGCAACCAACCCAAACCAAACTGGAACAGCTCGGGTTGAACGGAACAGGGCAAACAGTGGGAATAGCAGACACAGGCATTGATTTTGACTCTTGCTTTTTCCATGACCCCAAAGTCGAGGTCTTGGTGTGTTTGGATTGTTATTTCTCTGACGTTTGTAGCAAAATATGCCCTGCTCAACCCCGTCACCGTAAGATTTTGTCCTACAACTCCTACGCCCCTCCTACACTCTTTCCTCAGTCTTATGACTCGTATCATGGTCACGGCACGCACGTGTCCGGTATCGTTGCTGGCGCCGCTGGTCCCATCAACACTCTTGCTACTCAGTATAATGGATCAGCTCCAGGTGCAAAGATCGTGTTCGAAGATGTCTCGAGTTCGGAGCCTTACCTCAACTACCTGCCATGGGATCTCGGCTCCAGTCTGTTTGCTCACGCATATAACAACGGAGCGAAGATTCATTCAAATTCGTGGGGTGGTAGTCCTTCTGAATACGATTTCCAGTGCATGGAAATCGATGCATTCATGTATAGCATTGACGATTTTCTGGTTGTCTTTGCTGCAGGGAATAGCGGTCCCAATCACTTCTCTATTGGCAGTCCAGGGAATGCCAAGAACATTCTATCGGTAGGATCAAGCTTGAACTCCCGTGAGTCGTACGTGGCGCATGGTTATGGTACCTACTTCAACCTCTCCATGCTGCTCTCTGATGGCTCAAAGGAGAGAATGGTTGACATCCTGCCTGCCTCCTTCGGAGCTCCGCTGACCCCCGACATGGAACCAATCAACGCTTCGATAGTGGGTCAAGAGTTTTACAGCTGGTGCGATCCGTCTGCTCCGTGGTGCATGAATATAGAGTCATTGCTGTGCCTGCAGCGTCCGAACTCGAACTCAACTTGCTCGAGTCAGAATTCACCTGAACCTAAGATTTCAATGAGGTGGTCGGACATCCAGACAGTTGCAAGCCTTGGAAACGTTCAATCCAGCATTCGATTCCAGGATTTCAAGTCATGTTTTGTTGAGCCTTGGGCTTCACAGTCAACATGTACGTTCTCAATGTACGTCAACAGAATATCTGGCGGCGATGTTGATCTCATGATTCAAGTGCCCTTGCAGTACTGGATGGGCAGCCATAGCGTTACTAATGTCAAGGGAATCACTGTTGCTGGTAACTATATTCCAATGGATTTCAGCATGTCAGACAGTCAGTCTTGTGGACAATCAATTAGTACAACCTACAGGATACCACCGCAAGTGTCAGGAACGATTCAGATCATCGTTTACTTTGACCAATCGATGATGTACGCATATGCTTGCATCACGTCGGGAGTCACCTTCACGATGATTTCTCATGACAATACCTTATGGGACATCTTGTATGACTCGTTTACCTCTCAGGAATACAAGTACAATTACAACCCACAGATGTACGTTGATTTGCAGACTGACTTTGATTTTTGTATTTTTGGAGAAAATGCCAAAAGTCGAACCTATTTAACGAGACATTCTCTGAGATTTGCTCATTCCGACAATTTGTTATACTCACAATTCATTTTCAACAATGACTATGAGTCATATCCAGTGTTCATGGCAGGAAAGAAAGTTCAAGACCATGGTATAAAGGGGTACACTATCTACATCAAGAGCCATAATGTGGAAAACTCACATGATGAAGAATCGCAAATTACTTTGTATGAGAATAATAGCATTACTTACACCGTTATTACCCCGGTACAAAATGATGATGACTCCTTTTCATTTTCCATTTCTAAAGGGTATTCTATCTTCTCAGGTTTTGTCAACATCAACAAGACGGTGACTTTAACAGGCTTCTCTAATCCATTGAGCGATTACTTTCGAGGCTTCTTCAAAGGCAGCATGGTTGCTTCTCCTTTCACAGGTTATTGCGATGAAGTGCTCATGGCCTGGAATGCTCAGAACATGGGAGCCCCTGCACTGATCTTGTACGAACCTTCGGTCCAATTTCCTCCCCCTCTTTTGAAAGGAACAGAAGGCCTGAACGACATCTTGAAACATCAGATCAAAATACCAGTCGCTGGCATCTCAGGTTTGGACGCACTAAGACTGCTTTCGAAGTGGATTCAAGGAGGATCCTGCGCTTCAGGTTTTCCTTATCTCTGCCTCCGTTCTATGCAGCTGGCCAAGTTACCACTGGTTAGCAACGTTCGCTCAGGACAAGAGTACAAGCACACCGACTTATCGATCTTCTCATCGCGAGGACCAACCTTTGATCTCAGAAACAAGCCAGACATCGTCGCTCCTGGTCAGAACATCTTCTCCGCTTCTTCCGATGGAATCCGCAACAGCTACCAGTGCGCTGACTCCGTCGGGCTCAACAAGAGCTGCATCCTCGAGATGAGCGGAACCTCCATGGCTACTCCAGCAATCGCCGGGGCAGCCGCCATAGTGAGGCAGTACTTCGAGGAGGGCTACCAGGTCACGGGCTCTCCCTCAGACGCGGATGGTGTCAACCCTTCCTCCGCGCTTGTCAAAGCTATGATCATTCAAAGCGGCAAGCCTCTGCGCCATGCTTACCAGTATGGGTCTAAGTTGGTGAGGAATGGTTTGTGGAGTTGGTTTCAAGTCTACGGAGGGTCTGAAGTTACATGGCAAGAGTCGACTGCAAGCCCTTCAGCGGAGCAGGGGTACGGGCTGCTTGACTTGTCGTCGGTCTTGTGGTTCGGAGCGGATTCAGACTTTGTGTTGAAGACTTACGATCGGGTGCAGCTGTCTCAAGGTCAGGTCGTAGAGAAATGCTTCTCCGTCTCCGGCGGCTCTCAGTTCCGAGTCACTCTAGTGTGGACGGACCCCCCCGGGTCCCCTATGCCTCCAAGGCGCTCATGAGCGATCTCGACCTCGTGCTCATCGATAGCAGTGGCAACACCTTGTACGGCAACAACCGCTCGGGCTCGGACATGGACCGAACCAACAATGTCGAGCAGATCACCCTGCACCAGGCCCCCGCGGGGACCTATAGCGTCGTCGTGTCTGCCTATGACTTGCCTTGGGGGTCGCAGAACTTCGCGCTGGTGGTGACGGGGGCCATCACTGCCGAGACAAGCTGCAGCTCGTTGCCTCCCTGCCCTAACAGCTGCTCAGGGCACGGCACCTGTAGAGCCTCTGTGTGCGATTGTGCTGCAGGATACTACTCAGTTGATTGTAGTCAGTCACCTCGATGTGGAGATGGTGTTTTGACAGCTCCAGAGCAGTGCGACGACGGCAACTCAGTCTCAGGCGACGGCTGCTCGTCGACCTGTCAGGTGGAGCAAGGCTGGGAGTGCGACCAAGAGTTGTGGCCAGAAGTCAAGTCCTCCTGCTTCAAGTGCGCGTGCGGATGCCATAAATACAAGGAGGAGTCTGGCATTGTCAACGAGTCGAGTTTTGTCAACTACGTGGAATGCGTGTATGACATCGAGCCGACTGGTTTGACTTCTATTCAATTTTCGTTTCCTGATATGTGGAACAATCCAAATCTCGACCTTGAGATCTACACCTGTGCCAACTCAGACTGTAGCCACTGGAGCTTCGATGGTTGGATATCAGGAACATACATGAGCCTGTGGTTGCCAGAATCATATTTGTACAAACGTGCTTTCAGAGTCATGTCGTCAAAGGTGAGGGTGGTTTCTTACAGCCCGTTCGTGCTCAAGTATGGACCCATCGTGTATGACGTGTGCGGCGATGGCATTCAAGAAGGGCTGGAGGCGTGCGATGACGGAAACCTCGTCGACGGCGACGGATGCTCATCGACTTGCAAGAAGGAATGCACGGCAGCACATTGCTGTCACATTGAATTGTCAACGCATGACGTCTTCACCAACATGTACAAGAACGAAGTTGTTCCTGGTGCCACTTGCGCCTCGTTCAGCATCTACGACAGCAACAACGGTATGGGCGAGATCGAGCTGGCAGTCATCCCTACCCTCCTGCTCCCAACCGTCTGCGAGCAACCAGGAGTCGACAACTCGTCGTCTACCAGCCTCAAATTCAACGGATCGCTTTCAACAAGTCAGTACAAGTTTGCAGCTGGAAACATCATGGGGGATTGGAGCTTGCTCTATCCTTCCTCTTTATCCAACGGCATGCAGAACATGGATGATGGTAACTGGCTGCTCCCGGACTTTGGCTTCGACTTTTGTGTGAATGGCAAGAACGTGAGGAATCGGACGTACATCAGTTCCAACTCCTACATCACCTTCTACAACGGCTTCTCCTTCTACTCTGGTCTGTCTGCTTCCTGGCCTCCCACACCCACCATGTTCATCGGGGGATCCGACACGTCGGCTCAGCTCGTGCTGACCAAGACAGTGTATGAGGCGGGCATGCGAGGCTTTCTCGTTCGGTTTGAAGGTACAGCCTCAAGCAGCGGTCAGCTCGGCTGGCCCAACATCATCTGGGAGGCGACATTCTTCGAGGACAACCGCATCAGAGTGTCTGTCGGGCTCATGGCGAACAGCTACGGTCTCTCTCTGCTGAGCGATGGCAACGGCAAGATCCTCCTGCCTCTTGCCTTCCAGCAGAACTCAGCTGAGCTCCTGCACCTCAAGAACCTGTGCTCGTACAAGCAGCAGGTCGCGTGCGACAGACTTGAGTTGAGCTCGCAGGAGGAGAATCAAGTCTTGTCCAACAAGTTTCAAGTCTTCCGCGGTCGCTCGCTCACCTTGAACTACTTCTCCACCGTCAACAATCGAACTGCATCGCCGTTTCCCTTCGAGCTGTCATGGGGAGGCAAGTCAAAGCCCATGTGCGGCAACGGGCTCCGAGACTGGATGTTCCGCAGGCTCACTATGGTGAGCTGCACTTCGACGACATCTTACTGGTACACGTCAACGATCAATGACGGGACGGGACGAGTCTCCTCATGGAGTTACCGGATGTCTTCTTGCAATGCTCTTCTCAGTCTTCTGATCAACTCAACGGGGCCCATGTACCTTCTCGTCGACATTGACTCGACCTCTCTCTACGGGAGTTCGATCATGAACGTCACTCTCAACGGCGTCAGCATCCCCTTCTCCTCTCCTGACCAGATGAGTCCCATGTGCGGGATGAAAGTTCCCATTGTCCTCACTCAAGTCCCCACCAACGTGCAGGGGTCGAAGCTCTCTCTGCAGATCAACGTCATGTATCCTAACTGCTGGTACTGCTCCAACACTCCCTCCTGCCTCTACATCAACGCAGAGGCTATCCTCGCCACTCCTGACGTCTTCGAGCAGTGCGACGATGGCAACCAAGTCGACGGTGACGGATGCAGCAGCACGTGCACCATAGAGCCCGGGGCCACGTGCGACAGCTCCTTCAGCATCGGGTCGCTGCAGAGAGGGCCGGACGTCTGCCTCGGCAAGTACGGCAAGCAGGTGCCGGGAGGATGCTCCAACTGGATGGCGATGCTCAACTCGTCGACGTATCCGTTCCTGTGGGGTGAAGACCCGAGCTACAGGAACTGCTCGCTCCCTTACACGTGGGAAGAGATTGCCATTCCAGCTCTCAAGACCTGCTCAGTTCAGTACAAGATGGGAGGCCTGGGGCTTCTCATGACGGATCAGTTTCAAGTTTGGATCTGCGTGAAGGATCACCCGTGTGCGTTGAGTGCGAGCAACCCTTACTTCTGCTTCGTCTACGATGAGGACAAGGAAAGGTTCATCCCTTGGGGAAGCAACTCCAAGCTTCAGCTCTTTCGACTTTCCTAGTGAGGATTGTTACTTCGGCGTGCTTGTTCGAACATTGTGATCATGATCGGATTGTTCTGTTGGTAATCTTATTTGCAATTATTCGCAATAAACGTTTATCATCATTTTCGTTTGAAAAGCATTTTGATCACGATCGCAGTGTAAAAGATGGGTTTTCACAACGATGCTCGTAGTCATCATGATCTGGTAGCAACTCTCTGTGCATGATCTTGTAGGCAACGTTCTTCATGCAGACCCTTCAGTTGGCACAAACAACTTGGCAGCCCCCAGAGTGCAGGGGAGGTCTGATTGCAGCAGCCGTAAAGCTGCAGATCACCGCAGGATCGTCGTTATTCCTTGAGCACGTGAGCAGAACAGCAGCGGCCTCCATCGGAGATCAGGTTCATGCATGGGTGAACTTTCAGATTGAGAGCAAAATGAGATTGTCAGTAGACCCAATGCGATCAAGGCATACAGAAAGGAAGGAGAAGAGAGAGGAATGCAACTTGACAACAACTAAATGACGTTTGCTGCGCTGCAAAGACCTGTGCAAAGACGCTCAGTTGTAGCAGCTTTCTAAGGGGTTTGTTGTATGAGCTCTTTACTGTATGAGCGTTTGATGTGGAACAAGCTTGCCTCAGACTCTGGATTCGTGAGAGGCAGTCCAACAATGTCCGTATAGACGAAATTGCTGCCCCCGTCGTCGTCCTCCACCGCGAGCATGGTGTGGGTGCTGGTGGGCGGCGGGAGGCGACTGGAGATCGGGGGGGAAGGAGGAGGAGCGGAGGAAGGGAGGAAAGGCGACGTGAGGATCGGGAAGTCAGAGGATAATGACGTGGTCATCAGCCATGAATCCGTGTCAAGGCGCCATGCAGTGATAGGATACAGTGACAGAAAGAAGGCGGTGTGGTTGGAAGACGACTCCTCCAACGGCACTTGGGTGAATGGCGAGAAAGTAGAGAGAGATCGAAGGATTGAGCTTGCAAACGGATCAAAAATTAGGTTCGGAGAGCATGATGAAGCCTACGTCTTGGAGCTTGTGGACAAGTCCGAGGGGACCAAAGAGTTGCTATCAAGACTGGAAGGGTATGGGGATGAAGACGCGGAGGAGGATGAGCCGGACAGCGATGAGGAGGGGAAGTCAAAGGTCAAAAAGCCTGCCGCCAGACGAGAATCCTCCTCTAGGTCTCGATCACCGATCAGAAGAAGGTCGCGTTCTTGGGAAAGGAGATCCCGCTCTCCAGCAAGTCGATCTCGGGACAGGAGGAGGTCTCGATCCCGGGACAGGAGGAGGTCTCGTTCTCGGGACAGGAGGATATCTCGATCTCGGGACAGGAGGAGGAGTCGATCTCGGGACAGGAGGAGGAGTCGATCTCGGGACAGGAGGAGGAGTCGATCTCGGGACAGGAGGAGGAGTCGATCTCGGGACGGGAAGAGGTCTCGATCTCGGGATAGGAGGAGTCGTTCAAGGGATCGAAGGTCCTGGTCACAAGAACGGAGAAGGTCCCGATCGCGAGGCTCAATGGATGGAGGAGAGGATGAGAGCAAGAGCAAAGAACCAGCGGGAAACTTGCGCACAAGTGCAAACACCGTGCAAACACATGCTGGGGGAGGTAACCCTTGCACGTGGAGCCATGGCGAATTTTCACACAGCAGCAGGTCAACCAAACGTCATGGTGGGAACCAGCCCAGCATTCAGCCTTGCCTCTGCCTCCCAAAAGCGAAAACTTCTGTCTGACATATCCGGCTCTCCGAGCTCTTTGCTAATGCTGCCTTAGATGGGCCTCTAAGCCTAAGGAGGAGACGGGCAACAACACTGCAAAATGGACAAGTCTTTCAAGCTCTCTGGGTGATTCACAAGCTCAGGTGTAATGATGGTAGACAGGCTGCAAGACGAAGCATCTGAACGTCCTGAGCAGGAAAAGTTTCTTAAGCTCATGGGAGGGAAGAAGCCAGGTAAGGGAGGAGACCGTTAAGTGAGATTTTCGATGGGCATGCCTGACTGCAATGGAGGCAACGAGGCCATGGCAGGTAAGGCGCCGGAAGCCCCTCCAGGAGATCGTGCTAGCTATCGGAACATGCAGCAAAACCTGGAGAAAGAGTTCGATGAAGCCCTCCGACGTGAGCTGATGCATTTCATTTGTTGCAGTTGGTTGAAAATTTGTCAATAGGAAGCCAAGGAATGGGGAAATTTGGACTAGGCTAGGGTAGAGCATACATATGTTTTTCAATTAACGTAGAGAAAGATTCAACGTTCATATAAGTACAATGGGCCCAGATACATCGTCATGGGAAAGAATGTTTATTACCAAAACAAAAATCTCAGCGCAACAGTTTATCCCTACAGCTTCATTTCCCATGCTTTTGCTTCATGCAGTTCATGAAATGTACTCTTGCTATATATAACCATTTCGCTACATCTGTTTCGAAATCATATTGAAACATCCGATCTGAAATCCAAAAAGGAATGTGCAACATCAACCACAGATTCAAAAGTCAACCAGAAAATTCCAGCATGGCTTCGAGTTCCGATGCCTGGGTGCGACAACTGAATCATGGATGGACTGCAATCAGATCTCCAAAGAATGTGGAGGCACAAATTATCCTTGAGGCCTTTCAGGCTGGATTGTTTCCTGATACTTCAAAATCGTCCAGTCGAACACATAATCGTACTGGAAGCCTTCTCGAATGAACAAATCACGGAATAACTTTCTCAAATATCTACAGCAACGTATGAGTATAAAGTAACGCCATCCAGTTATCCTAAGCTTACCCATAATCTGGCTTGTCATCGAATCTCAAGGCCCGAACATAGTTCAGGTAGGTGGCAAATTCCTGGGGGAAGCCTTTGCCTGGGATTATGTCAGGATTCGAACATGATAAAAATCACTAACTCACAGAGCTGCTCCACTTGAGTGCCCATCTTCTTCTCTGAGATCTTCTCATACTTTTGCTTCTTGTTTGCAGCGCGCAATCCTTGCCACGGAAGGCTTCCACGATTGAAATACATGAGGACGTATCCCAGCGACTCCAGATCATCGCGGCGGCTCTGTTCAATACCCAGATGAGTATTGATGCTCGCATATCGAGCAGTCCCAGTCAAATTCTTGTTCTCTCGATAGGGAATGTGCTGTGACAAAAAAATAAGCAACAGCTCCGAGAGAAGAGGAGAGTGAGTACCTGATGTGTCTTGGGGTCGCGATACTTCTTTGCAAGACCGAAATCGATAATGTTGACCTGGTTTGCCTTTTTTCCTAGGCCCATAAGGAAGTTGTCAGGTTTGATGTCACGATGTATAAAGCTCTTGGAGTGCACGAATTCTATACGACTAAACAAAGTATCAATGTGATATCCCAAAAACAAAAACAAAAACAAAAATACCTCAACATTTGCTCCGCCAACATCAGGACAGTTTTCAAACTAAACTTTCTCGAACAGAAATTGAATAGATCCTCTAAACTTGGCCCAAGGAGGTCTATGACCATGACGTTGTAGTCGCCCTCCACTCCATACCAACGAACGCTGGGAAGGCCTACTCCCCCTTGAAGAATCTTGAGTACCTTGGATCTGCACACCAAGAAAAATGAGACAAGTCGCAATGTAAGCGACAAGAATTACTCATAAAGGAGCTGTGGGTGCTTGCTTTTGACGCTTTCCAACTTGATGGCAACTTCTTCGCTCGTCGAAATGTTTGTTCCTGAACGAAACATAAGCGATTACACAAAAGCATATATTCAAATCACCGAGAAAAATATCTCCAAATGAGCCGCTTCCTATCTTTCGCCCAATTCTGTACTTATTTCCAACTCGAAGCTCCATGTTTCAATCCAGGAAATATGAACTATAGGCCTGGACCAATTTGTCTGTTTGTCACCAGTAGTGGCTAAGCCAGCCTGCGACCCTTGTCACGGGTCGCTCAAGTCCTGCGATCAGATTTCTGACTCAGGTTGTACAGGTCTGAATTTGATTGAGTTTCCAGCCTAAAAGAAACAATCAAAATCAGTATCGCTTCACAAGCTTTGAGAGATTCAAATTCGACGAAAACGTTCAACATACTGCAATACTTTCAACTTTGTATTTGAAAGCACACAACAGGTATCAAACATTTCTATCTACAATGAAACAAATTCTGTATACGACTAGCTTGCAAAGGTGCAACTGAAGAGCCGCGAAAACATTTCATGCAATCTCAATGCCATACAAATTCAATATTTGGCGATGTAATGATTAGATCATGCATCACCAGGATTGATTCTCATATCGAAAACTATTCTGAGTTGGTTATCTTCTCAAAAACGCTGAGAAACCTTCTCTTCACGATGCTGATATCAATGCAAGCCGAGAAACCGCTCAAACCACACACTCAGCCAACAGGCAAGCAGGCGAGACAAAAGAGATGAGAACACGAAGAACAAGTGAGAGAAACAATCTACTTGATGCAGACTATGAAGTTCAATCAAACTAGATCACTTTCAGCGATGACGAGGCTTGAGGAAGCCAAGTCAGACTCTCCTCTCTCTCTTCCCGCGCATGCGCAACCGCTGGAAGACGCGGTGGCGGATGTGCACCCACCCCCACCCATGAACCTGTCGATTGCTGAAGAAATAAGGGGTAGCTGCTACATAATTGGTTGTCACCACCGGTCCTGTATGATGAAAATTTAGTATCAAGCACCAGTACTCGCTGGAAGTGATCATCTATCTAGTGGGGTACCATCACAAGAGGGGTAGTCAGAAGGTCAGGTAGGACCGTCGGCGTCGTAGGAGGTCCTATACTCCCCACATAGCGCGATACAACCTGCTAATAAGGTCAGATATGACAAGGTCATAGGAAATGTTATTACAATTGTAGGAGCTCAATTCTAGATATGCATAAGACTTGGTACTAGGAAAGAGCCTACCAAGAAGTGAGTAGGTGGCAACAGAATGCGATATTAGGGATCCACACTGTAGAATCAGTTCAATGATTCAAATATTGCTTTGTAAATTCCATTTTTAAACAAAAAATTCAAAACCTTTAGGAATTTGGAATAAATCAATAAAACAATTACGGGGTATTCGACAGAAACGCGCAGATTGTTTCGTTTCACAGACCTAAAACCTGAAGTATTTTAAAGGATACTCTTCTATGCCTTCACGGGTCCAAACAGGGCAATGTCATGTAAAGGGGGTGGGTACTATTTGGTACCAATTAATAATTATTAATAATAGTTTTATTCTTACGGTACAAAAGTACTTTTGAATCCGACCACCCCACCACTTCCCACTCATTAACCCCCCTAGTTCACTCCAACCACCACCCCTACCCCTCTTTGTACGACTAACATTCACCGAAGCTGGTTCTGCCAGTTCTTCGTACAGACGACTAGCCGCTTCCACGAGGTTGCCGTCAAGGCTCCATCCCACGATTTGATATCCCTTCGAGATAACTTGTCCTATACGAAGATTGCAAGGAAGCCCCAACAGAGAACGGACTGTTTCAACATGGTGCATGAACGATGTGGGCTTCTGAGCTGGCATGGGCGTCCGCGGCGTGCTGGAAAGGCCAGATTGATTGGCGGGAAAATAGTACCAAGTATAGCAGTTTGTACGGGGGCGTACTACGGTACTTCAGCAATAATTGTTTGTAAAATGGAATGTAACTTAAATTAGTACCGAAATAGATATTTTTATAATGTTAACAATAATTTAATAGGCGTTACTATCCATATAATTTGTACTATCTGTCTAATTGTCCTACATCCATATATTTCTGCGCGTTTATGTCGAATTCCCCAAACAATTACCCTTGATTCGAAAATATCTTCTTGAGACAGCCAAGCGGTATGAATTAGCAGAAATCTGTACTATATTATCAGTATTGACAAAAATTATAGCCAAATTATGATAGAAATACTTATATAAAATTACTTAATCTGGTTTGAATCTGTACCAGCATTTCCTCTGTGTTCGGATGCTTAAGAATTTTAAAATAAAAAGAAATCTTTATGGAAAAGAAATTGTCTTCAGTAAAATCGACGGTGAGAATATTGGCTCAAATATGTGTTTACTACTGTGCAACATTTGAAAGAAATGCAGAGTTTATGAAGAGGAAACCTCTTGTGAATATAAAAGCTCTCAGACAGGATAAAAACCGAATCATAAAACTTTATAACTATTATTCAAATTGTCCCAGACGTCTACGTACCTGAAAAAAAAAAGTGTTGAGAACCTTTTTAAATATCACCGTACAAAATTTGACGATAGTTTTGTACTGAAGATTTTAGATATCTTTACAAAATCATCCAGAAAGTAGTACCAGAGAAACCCCCATTCCTAACAGGATGGCACGGAGCTGTTAATCGAAGTAAAGCCAAAGAAGTGAACGGTTTAATCCGTTACAGATCAACAAACTACGGCCGTTACCACAAAATAACTGCAGGGCCGCCAATGTCGTAGGTGGGGGGAAAGGAAAGAAGCGAAAAAGCGGTGGCAGTGGGAGGGAGAGGATGGTAACAGTCAGCATGGGTCGGAACGAAGCCCATTGTCACCAGGAGCCGATGAGCTCCTTTCTTGTTTGGTTGACCATTGTTTCTGGTATGGGAGGGTTCCTTTTCGGAATCGATACAAGCAACATATCCGGAGCGCTCAAGTTCATCGAGGAGGAGTTCCATGTAGACTCGGCCTTAACAACCGCCATCATTGTTTCGGGTACTATCGCAGGTTGTGTTCCTGCCACGGTGGCTGCAGGTTGGCTTGGTGGTACCTTCGGACGGAAGCCAACTTTAACGATGTCCAGCATTCTGTTCATAGTCGCAGCCGGCATCATGTCCCTTGCTGCAAACATACCAATGTTGGTTGGCGGTCGCATTGTTGCTGGCTTTGCAGTTGGTATAGCCTCTTGCACCGTGCCGGTTTATCTGGCGGAAACGGCTCCAACATCTCATCGAGGGGCCATAGTGACTTGCTATGTGGTGTTGATTACCTTCGGTCAAGCAGTGGCGTACATGATTGCGTATCTCTTCGCTATGATTCTTCCACAATCTTATGAATGGCGGGCTATGCTGGGTACTTCAGCCATCCCTGCTCTCTTCATGTTGCTCGGGTTGATCCGCATGCCTGAAACACCGCGGTACCTTGTCTTGCAGGGGAAGGACGAGGAGGCACGAAGAGCGCTCGTCACAATAAGAGGTCATGAGAATGTAGACGAAGAGCTGATTGAGATAAAAGAAGTGTGCTTGAACGAAGGTCAGGAAAGCGTGCGAAGTCTGTCTAGCAAGGGACTCAGACGGCACCTTCAGGTGGGAGTGGGATTGCAGGTAATGCAGCAGTGCCTGGGGATCAATGCCATCATGTACTATAGCGTCAAGATCATCCATGACTCCGGCTTCACGTCGGGTCATGACGACATCTTCTATTCGATTCCGATCGCGTCCACCAACTTTCTTTTCACTTTTGTTGGTCTCTTCCTAATTGACGTGACAGGGAGGTGAAGCAAGCTTTATGCACTCTTGCTCAGATGGTAATACCTTTTTTCCAGGAGAAAGCTCTTGCTAGGATCCTTGATTGGAGCTACAATATCTCTCTTTGGGCTTGCTGCCTATTTTTCTTCCATGTCCGCTTCTTCGCCGCGGATTACTCCTCCAGACCAGATTGTCAACCTCTGCCAGCAGTATCAGAATGTAAAAGCTGCAGCATTTTGCCACCTGAATGTGCTAACATGTTTCTTCATCAGTGTTACGATTGCACGCGGGACTCCCAGTGTGGTTTTTGCTATTCCGGAGAGCAAGCTGTTTGCTCCCCTGGGAATCTTGACGGGCCGCTCAATGCAACTTCATGTGATCGAGTCACTTGGTCGTACGACGCTTGCCCTTCCTCGAAAGCATGGGTTGCTATACTACTGGTCCTATTCATCGTCAGGCTTCCCTTGTTCCACGGCATGACTGTATTTCAGGTCATGCTCTACCTTGCTTTCTTCGCCTCAGGGATCGGGCCTGTACCCTGGACAGTCAATTCAGAGATCTACCCGCTTTCCGTCCGATCGCAAGCGAATTCTCTTGCGACTGTTGCAAACTGGACAACAGGTGATACGAGCTCCCGCCCTCACGCGGCTCAGAGGCTCATGGTTTTATCGCAGACCTCCTGGTGGGTTCCTTCGCCTTCCCCATACTCCTTGAGTACCTCAGCGCCTCCATCACTTTTGGGATATACGGATGCGCAGGTGAATCGAGACGAATGTGACAGACGAGATTTGATGGAAATCCAGGGATCATCGGGATTGCGTTCACTTACTTATCACTGCCCGAAACAGCTGGGAAATCGTTGGAAGAAATCCAGGTATCGAAAATTTCCAGGACAAAGAGCGTATGTAGGAGTGAATTTCAATCTGCAGGAATATTTCTCGTCTTCCGAGAGGTGGACCGACGTTCGTCGTAAATCGTCGCATGTCAGTGATTCTTCACTATGTTTTCATTTTCTCTGAATGCTACATTCCAGTCCCCGCTTTTGCACAATGACCAACTCAACTCCAAGACGGACACCCATGAGGAAGATGAAGATGAATGCGCTGAACTTTCAGTGGCAAAAGAAGAGCTGATTGTTGAAAATGAAAGATAGTTATCGTACAGCCTGCTACACCGTGCCGGTGACCGTACCGTACTGTAACGGCCGCGGTGACTTAGCCGGGCTCAGGGCCGTACGCCGCCCGCCGGCCGACTGTGCCGCAGCCGCCGGCCCGGCGGGCCACGATGCCACCGTGACGGTCCGTCCGGGCCCGGTACCGTCGGACTCTGCAACTTTGAAAGTATCGGAGTTTCAAGTTTCAACGTCAAAGTTTCTTAGGTCAAAGTTTCGCAAATTTCGTGTTAGCTCCGAGGCGGACTTCTTTGCAACCTGCGGCCGCGCATGCTCCCCTCCCCCCTCCCCTCCGTTGACTGATCGACGTCCTCCGCCCTGCCCGCGTGCCCCTGCAGCAGCTCGCTCCTCCTCTCCTCGTTCCAACGACCTGCTCCGTTGCTTCCCTTGCAACTCTCACCAACTTGATCGTTTCAGGCACCATCCTCCATCCATCTGTACTGAAACCGCACGTGCACTCTGCTTTCAAGGAAGGGAGAAAGGGTCGGTATAGCTCGTCGATTCTTCGACGTCACTAGTGTTGCTCCTCTTCGTCCTCCCTTAACCTTCTCATCCTTCCACTCCTCCACCCGAAGTTCCCCCTGCTCCTCGACTGCTCACTCTACGCCCCTTCCCCGCTCGAACAAACTGCAATGTCAAGCACGCAAAGCAACGGCACGTCCTCCAAGGACACGTGGTGTTTCGGGAAGCAGTCAGTGACAGATGCCATTGAGGCTGTGAGGAACGGACAGATGGTGATTGCCTTCCTCTCGTTCCTGTTACTCCATGCTCACCTTGTTTGTGCGCCTGGCAGGTCATTGTGGTCGATGACGAAGATCGCGAGAACGAGGGAGATTTGATCATGGCGGCAGAGAAAGCAACAAAAGTATGCAAGCTACATGTCAGTTTGCATGCAACACTGACGTTTTTCCGAACAGGAGACCATTGCCTTCATGATCAAGCACACTTCCGGGGTGATATGCTGCGCCATTGAGGGGTGAGGAGGCGGAGAGAGCAGGCAGGGGCTGACAAGCAGGACGACAGGGAACGAGCTGTAGATCTCCAGCTCCCTCAGATGGTTGAGAAGAACGAGGACGCCAAGTAGGAGCAGGAGACAGTTCATGCGACATGCGGCTGACGCGCGTGCGCAGGTGTACTGCCTTCACCGTCTCTGTCGACCTTCGGCATGGCATCACGACGGTAAGATGCGCCTCCTGCCACTTCCCCCTCCCTTCCACTTCTTCCCCCTTTCCTCCTCTTCATCCCTCTCCCCTCCCTTCTCCTCTTTTCACTTCCTGCTTGACTTCCCAATTCCTCTCTTCTTCCTTGTTCTCTCCCCTCCCTTCCGCTCCCCCACCCATATTGTCCATCGTTTGCAACCATCGTCTTACTAATCGACTTCCTTCAGGGCATCTCAGCTTCCGATCGTGCGGCCACTCTCCGAGGTTTGCCCTCTTAAAGTGCCACATCTCCTCTCCCTAATACCTGTCCCTCCTTCCTGAAGTCACCTCCTTCCCTTCCTCCCTGAAGTCTCCTCCTCCTATCTCTCTCTCTCCTCCACCTTCCCCTCCTCCTCCTTCTCCTCCTCCTCCTTCCCTGCTCCTCCTGACCCTTCTTGTCAGCTCTGGGGAGCAAGGAGAGCAAAGCAAGCGACTTCACCAGACCCGGTCACATCTTTCCGCTTCGGGGAGTTCCAGGAGGAGTCCTCTCGCGCGAGGTGTCTACTCCTCTTGTCTTTCATCCTTCCTTCACCTTTCTCCTTCCTGCTCCCCTCTCCTCGTCCCTCCTCTACTTTGCTTCCTCATCGTCATTCCATCACTTTCACCATCTCCTCTCCTCTCCCTCTCCTCTCCCTCTCCTCTGCTCTCCCTCTCCTCCTCACTGCAGATTTGGCAGGGACACACTGAGGCATCGATCGACCTTTCCGTCCTCGCCGGGTAAAATTCGCAGCTGTTCTCCACCAAAAGTACTGACTATCTTTCAGCTGCACTCCGGCCGGCGTCCTCTGCGAGATTGTCACTGAAGATTGCTCTGAGATGATGCGCGTACCGGAGCTGAAGGTCTTTGCGAAGAAGGTGAGGAAGAGCGGAGGAGGAAGGGAGGGAGGGCGGGAGTGAGAGCGGACGACGAGCAGCAGGGAAGAAGGGGAGGGACTGAATGGGAGGAAAAGGGGAGAATAGGAGAGAGTGGGGGAGAGGAAGGGAATGGAGGAGGAGGAGACTGCGACAGGAGGAGCTGACGACCGATCTCTCCAGCATTCCCTTGTTTTCACTTCAATCCAAGACCTCAAGATGTATCGCCGCAGTCTTGACGCAGCAAACTAATGATTGCGCTTCTTATATTCCTCATCGTTACCCTCCTCCTCCTCCTCCTCCTCCTCCTCCTTAACCCCCCTCCTTCCTCTTGCCTGTTGTCAGGAACCAGGTCCAGTAGCCTGTTGTTTCCGATGATTCCTCGCAATGAAGCTAAAGACTGTTCCCTCGTTTCGAAATTCATTCTTCCACCTCCTCGCACCCTGTTCTCTCCTCCTCCTCCTCCCTGTACTCTACCAAGTCCATTCCCATCACGCGCAGGGGGTCTCGATCCACCGAGAAGCGAACGTCTCTCTCCTCCTCCCAAGGCACTGCCCTCGACGCCACCCTGTACGCCCTCTCCTCCCCTCCCAGCAGCCGCAGGAGGTCTTCCGCAACCAGCCTCACCTGCCTGTCCTCCTCCTGCTTCCTGCATGCGAGGGCGACTGAGAGGACGAGCTGGTCCAGCTGTGACCTCTCGCCTCGCACGAAGAGCCTGCGGATGGAGAGCAGGGCGCTGAGCCGTACGGGAGACGCTTCCTCTTTGACGAGCTCCAGCAGCACCGTCAGGCTGCTGCTGTCGTTGACAGGCGCAAGAGCTCCCAGCGCGTGCGTCAACGTCTCCACGTCTGCTGCTCTACCTCTGCTCCTGCTCAGCTCCAGTTGGGCAAGCAGGCATGAGCTTGCCTGTCCCTCCTGCCTCCCTCCTCCTTGCCCGAAGAGCACGGACATGGCATCCTCCGATCCTCGGGCAAAGACGTCAGGGAGGACCGCGAGGACGGCATGTCGGACGAGCTGGTCCCCGTCAAGGAGGAGGAGGAGGAGCTTCTGCTTGATCGGGGCTAGAGCGCATCGCATGTTGATGGGCCTCTGCATGAGCGCAGAGCAAGCTTGAGCCCCCGACACCCGAGCATCGGCATGGTCGCAGCCGAGGAGGAGATCCACCGACAGGGCGGCAGCACGGAAGCCGCGGAAGCCGCAGAGGAGCGAGAGAGAGCGGAGGGAGTCGACGAGCCTCCTCCTCCTCTGCTGCGAGATGTCAGTACGGAGCTGCTTCACTATCCTCAAGGTGAAGACTGGGAAGGGGTCCCTCACGTCCTCCTCGCTCAGCTCCCCGAACATCTCCTGCATCGTTCTCGTCCTGTGGCTGCACGCGACGCCATGGCAGGACTCGCGCATTACCTTCTCCTCCCACCTCCGCTCTTGCGGATCGTTGTCAGGATCCCTCCGGTTGCGCAGCAGCAGCGAGTGGTCGAAGTCGACCTCCTCGCCATGGTTGGATGCGGACGAATACCGAAGAGCCGCCGCCTCCTCTGCCTCCTGCCCCCCTTGCTTCCCGCCCCCTCCCTGCTCCTCTCTTGCTCCCGGCCCCTTCTTCTTCCTCTGCATCGTTCGATGCAGGAGCTGGGCAGCGGCTTCCTTCACCGTCTCGTGCGAATCTTTGGAGAGGAGGAGGAGCAGGTCAGTAAGAGGAAAAGGACAGCTTGCCTTGTTGACGAGCAGCGAACACACGCTCACAAACTTGAGCCGGTCAAAGTCGTCGGAGCTGCGGGCGAGGCCGGATAGGATGTGAACGATCTCCTCCGTCCTCTCCTCCAGATCAAACTGGTCGACAGCTCTCACCAGTGCCTCCACGTCCCTTGTCCCCTTACAGCTCACCAGCCGACGTGTCACTTGCTCGAACAGCGCCGCCGACATGTTTCGGCGACGAACAGCCTCGATTGCAGCATCGTGGACGAGCTTGTGATCTGACAAGACACCATCCACAATGATGTCAAGGATGCGCTGCTGCCCTTCGTTGCTCAACCTCCCGAGACATCTCAATCCCGTCGCCTTGAGATCTTGGTCGGTTGAGGTGCAGAGGAGAACGACTCGGTCCATGACGTAAAGAGGACAGGAGTCCTGATCCACCAGCGCTGTGATCGCTTCTTCAGCGCTTCTTCTCACTGCTGCACTCACATGCTCCAGGTTGTCCATGACGTGCGGGATCAGCTGAAAGCGGCCTCAGAGGAGCAGGAGGCCACAGGCACATGCAGAGACAAGCAAGAAGTAGAGGAGACAGGCGAAGAAAAGTGAAGAGATCAAGACTACAGGGGAGGAGGGACGAGGACGAGAATGGAATTGAGATGGAGGTGGATGTAGGCACATTTACAAACGCTGAGTATCCACTTTGAAACAAACACATCAAATCTTTACCTTGTACGAATTTAAGCTTTTCGGTTTTGCAAGTTTCTTTACTGTCAGCAGCGCCCTTTCCCTGGTTCATCGTCATCGCCTCGTTCTCTCAACCTCTTCCATCACCACCATGACCTTATCCAAGACCAACATACCCCTCGCCAACACCTTCCTCTCTCTCTCTCTCCCTCCCTCCCTCCCTCCCTCCCTCCTCTCTTATTCTCTCTGACCTTATGGGGGCCAAGGCATCGTGCAGCAACGACACCATGGCAGAGACGCTGCCTTGGCTCTCAACGTCCGGATATCTCAGAAGCACATCCATCGCTCCTCCTTCACCTCTCCTGATCCCTTCCTCGATGAGGCGCAGCAGCCCTCCGTTCATCGGCTCCACCTCAAGCTCGCTCGCCTCTCGATCCAGCATGACGACAGACATGTCGGGGAGAGCAAGGTGAGGCGTTGAGCAGTCCAGCTGTTGATTCAGCTGAAAGATGCTGTCAAGAGACATTCTCATCTCCTTGGCTATCCAGAAACTCGTTTCTCCCCTCATTGTCACAAAGTATCCTCTGCTCGGCCACCTGGCCTTCCTGCTCCAAGGATCCGCTGTCGCCTCCCGCCATGGCACGGAGAAGGAGAGGAACTTCTCCTCCTTGCCCACAGCTACGATCTTGCCATCAGCCAAGCCCCTGTGACTGATCCGCAACCCCATCCTCCTCCCAGACATGTCAAGGTCTACAACATGGGCATACAGCAACGACGCTCGAGCTCCCTCTCCCCCTTCCTCCTCCTCCTCCTTGACCTCAATCATCTCCCCCATGCTCGGACAGTCAGGCAAGGATGCCATGGCAGGGCATCTGAGGGGCTCTTCCTTGCTCTTGGGTCTAACGCTGTACAGAGCTCGCTCGACCTGATCGCGAGAGGATCGGAGAGCTTCTCTGACCTCCGGGTAGCTCTCATGCTCCAGCAGATACTCCAGCCGCTCCAGCAGCTGGGACAGCTCTCCCTCTCTGCAGGCCTTCCAGACGCTCTCTGCCATCACCCTCCGAACTTGGAACGAACAATCCTGAAGCAGCGGCATGAGGTCCTCCACACAGCCTCTGCTTTCCGTCGTCTTCCCCAGAGCTCGAGCAGCTTCCAGCCGCACTCCTTCGTACGTGTCGTTTGACGCATCAAGGATGGCACGGAAAACCTGCTCGTCCTGCTGGGAGGCACGTCAGAGGCAAGTCTGAAACATGCCTCAACCATGCCTGTCCGTATGAGAGGAGGCAGCCAAGAGCCTCTGTGGCGGTCATGCGAACTGTGCGGTCCTTGTCGGTGAGGCTGAGGCCGATGAGGATATCAAGGAACCTCTTCTTCCTCTCCCCCTGCTCGTAAGGAGGACATCAGGTCAAGCAGGAGACGCGAGCGCACGAGAGGTAGGCGAGGTCTCACTGAAGAGGCTGTGACAGCAGAGGAGGGGCACAGCAGAGGAGATAGGACAGGGAGGAGAGCAATACCCTCAGGCTTCGTATCAGTGGGGGGAGGCTGCTGGAAGCCTTCCTCCTCTCCATCGCGTCAGCATCGTGCGCTCCTGCAACGGCGATGGAAAGCTGACTGTCTGCCATTCTGGTCACATTGCTGTCCCTCGTACCCCCTATGACCATATTGACTAGGCATCAAATCATTGGATGGCGGAAGATCAGATGGCGGCGACGCTGTTGCAAGGAGCCGCTGCTCTTGCAAGGAGATGAGGGTGGAGAGGAAGACTGGGACAATATAGAGGCTCTCTCGCAGAAGAAACAGCTCCCTGCGTCGGACCATTCATGAATTCACGGTAGCATTGGGGGGAGGAGGCGGGGGGGGTTGGGAATTCAAAACATTGAGATGCTTTGCTTGCTTTTACTGTGTTTTCATTTAGGCATGGAAGAAAAACCTTGACCAGAGCCAACATCAACTTACATTACGCGGCTGGCACACTCTAATGTTTCTCGTTGTCTCTGAGGATTTTGATCTTGCACGTTTTTTCTCGAACAGCTCAAGATCTTGAGCTGTTTCATCGGATTTGCTTTGAAGCACTGGTACTGTAACTAGCTCGTCGGGGAAAGAAACTTCTCGCGTGTATGGCAGTGCAATCCTCTCTCCATGCATGGCATGTGACTCGAGCTGTCTTTCATCCTGATTGGCCTCTTCAAGTCCACCATGATCGTCCACAGAGGTCAATACCATCGTGACGAAGAAGTCCTTGTCTTCTTTCTTCTCAAGTGCGCCTAAGCTATGACTGAGAAGGGCATCAACGTCGTCAAGATTCATGGCAGGTATGAGCGGAGGATTCATGGCAGGTATGAGCGGAGGATTCATGGCAGGTATGAGCGGAGAGTGGTCGGTTTATAAAGGAATTCCCCCGGATACCACCCTACCCCCTATTTGACCACAATCTCACCCCCCTAATACATCTCTCAGGGCCTCAGGTTGCGAGCGAGGCTTTATTCGCATCGCTTGTGCTCGCCTTGATCGTGCGGATGAAGTTTTACAAGCGTGCTGACTGAAGTTTACTAGTTGTGATCGTGCTGCAGTAGGTTTGATCGTGCTGCTGACGTTTTAGAGCAGTAATAGTGTGTGTTTTAAGCACAGAATATGAGGCAATGCAGCACTAGTGTGTGTTTTAATCGTGTTTTAAGCGCAGAATACGCGGCAATGCAGCACTAGTGTGTGTTTTAATCGTGTTCTAAGCGCAGAATACGAGGCAATGCAGCACTAGTGTGTGTTTTAATCGTGTTTTAAGCGCAGAATACGAGGCAATGCAGCACTAGTGTGTGTTTTAATCGTGTTTTAAGCGCAGAATACCAGGCAATGCAGCACTAGTGTGTGTTTTAATCGTGTTTTAAGCGCAGAATACGAGGCAATGCAGCACTAGTGTGTGTTTTAATCGTGTTTTAAGCGCAGAATACGCGGCAATGCAGCACTAGTGTGTGTTTTAATCGTGTTTTAAGCGCAGAATACGAGGCAATGCAGCACTAGTGTGTGTTTTAATCGTGTTTTAAGCGCAGAGCAGCACTAGTGTGTGTTTTAATCGTGTTCTAAGCGCAGAATCCGAGGCAATGCAGCACTAGTGTGTGTTTTAATCGTGTTCTAAGCGCAGAATACGAGGCAATGCAGCACTAGTGTGTGTTTTAATCGTGTTTTAAGCGCAGAATACGCGGCAATGCAGCACTAGTGTGTGTTTTAATCGTGTTTTAAGCGCAGAATACGCGGCAATGCAGCACTAGTGTGTGTTTTAATCGTGTTTTAAGCGCAGAATACGAGGCAATGCAGCACTAGTGTGTGTTTTAATCGTGTTTTAAGCGCAGAATACGCGGCAATGCAGCACTAGTGTGTGTTTTAATCGTGTTTTAAGCGCAGAATACGCGGCAATGCAGCACTAGTGTGTGTTTTAATCGTGTTTTAAGCGCAGAATACGAGGCAATGCAGCACTAGTGTGTGTTTTAATCGTGTTTTAAGCGCAGAATACGCGGCAATGCAGCACTAGTGTGTGTTTTAATCGTGTTTTAAGCGCAGAATCCGAGGCAATGCAGCACTAGTGTGTGTTTTAATCGTGTTTTAAAAGGGCAGAATCGTGGTAATGTACTTAAAATTTGGCGAAATTACTTTTTAAAAGAGACCCCCTTGTTGCCTCTGAGACAGTACTATCAGGACCCTACCCCCCTACCCCTGTCATCTTCTAGCCGGGAACTCTTGACCCAAGTTGCTCGCGTTCCCCTGCCGCTCGTTCCGCTCTCTCGGTCCTTCTCGCCGCTTCTCTGAGATCCGACCATCCTCCTCCTCTTTCTTGCTTCGCCGTCGGCTGCATCAACCCTCTCACATAGCGCAACGTTGAGAGCGCGCACCGATGCTACGAAGATGAAGGACAGCTTGCAGCATCTTGTGTTTCAATTGAAGAGCGTCTGACGGGGACCTCATGCAGTATGTACACGGGTACAGATGTCGGAGAACGAACTGGTCAAGGGAATTCTCGAGCTTGTGATGGTAGGTGAAGGCGGTGATCGCCTGTACCATCTTCTGCATGCTGGACGCGGAGGAGCTCCTGAAGGAGTCGCCCCGGATCATCTGCGAGTAGCCGATGATGACAAGCGGAGTTTCGAGCCTGGCGTGGCGTGAGGGACTTGTTCTTGGGTGGAAGGGAACAATCTAGATGCTCTCCAGCAGAAAGAGACAGCTGCTCCAATACGTCAGGCTCTGCAAAGGATAGAGAGAGGGCAACATTCGACCACAAGGTAAAATGTGCTTGCCTTTATTATTGTGTTCTCATTCTGCCATGGATGATGACTTGAGACCAGAGCCTACATCAACTTACATTACGCACTGGCACACGCTCATCATTTCTCGTGCCCGTTTTTTCGCAAACAGCTAAAGTCTGTCAATTTCATCGAAATTCCTTCGGACTGTTGGCACTGCGGCCAGGTCGGCAGGAGAAGCAGCTTCTGGCATGGAAACAAGGACGTCATGACCTTCTTTCGTCTTAAGCGAGGCCCAGCAGAGTTCGAGAACCATGTCAACATCCATCTATGAAGAGCTGAAGGAGAGAGAAGATGAAGGAAAGAGACGATGATGGTATGGCAGGGGATTGTCTGGACTAGCCGGAAAGGTTTTGGTTGTCATTCCCTTTTTTAGGTGTTGTTTTCCCTGTCAGTCTTGTTCTCCTTGCAAGAATGAAAGTTGATCTTTTGGGGATGCTCGACGGCACCAGCAGGTGGAGGAAGGTTGGGTTAGTCGCGTGTGATCATGCAGATGAAATCCTTGACTGGAAATGTGGACTTGTCGCTGGTTGTCTGAGAGCACAGCAGTCTCTTTCAGAACACGAACTTGTGAGCTGATTGCATTTCGATTGAGTCAGTTCAAACATAGAGCCGCTGCCGCACAGGAAGCAGAAACAGTTGTATTCGAAAGCGACTGCATTGACTTGGATAGAAGCAGAGCCCTATGCTGCATTACCACGGAAGTACGCGAACAAGTGGCATCTGTCAATGCGTGTCCTAGTATGTTTATGGACTTAGTGATGTAAGAGACAGGTAGATTGACAGATAAAAAGCTTCTTTCAACTCCATGCTTGTATTGCCACACCACCTGTCGATCAAACGCGCTTGGGCGTTCAGACCGCAGGGAGGTAAAATGAGGCTAGTCTATCATGTGCAGCATCTCGTTAACGATCGCGATTGCTTTCTCTATGGAGGTGGTGGCCAGGTGTTCGGCAAGCGCCTCCTGGTACTCCTGCGTCATCATATCCTTGAGTTCGTGCAGGGCGTCTCTGAGCTCCCTGAACTTGGTCTGGTCGCCAGTCTTGTAGGCCTCTACGAGCTTGCGGATGGTGGGCCATGGCCTTCGGCGGCGATCGGCGTTGCCCTTAGCCCCGTTGTAGAGGGCCTCGAGGTTTTGCGCCACAGTCATGTCGACATACCAGTCGGTGCCGACCTTGATGGCCTGTGAGAACGCATACTTGAGAGCGGTGAACGCCGCGAAGAAAGCCACATCGTCTACTCCGAAAACCATGGTATGGCGGCGAGGTGAAGCAAGGGAATGCCTGAACTCTTCGTTCCTCTTGCTGTTTATACCACCTCTCTCCGACTACCCCACTACCGGGCCTAACTAAAATCTAACTTGTGACAGCACTACCCCTTCATCCTATGCAAAGTACCCCAGCTTCCCCCCCATATTGACTGGGCGAATGACCCCTTCTTTGATGATCCTACGTGACATTTACATCCGTAGGTTGAAGGGGGAATAATTTTAGTAACTATACCGGTCACGTGTCCCTTGGTTCCGAGTTCTGCTGGGAAGTACCCACCCCTCGTTTTCACATGTGGAATGTTCCTTCAGCTCTGTGACCTGTCAGCCTGTCACACTCGGGACCGTCTCAGTCGGAGTTATTAGTCACTAGTGGTGTGCACGCAACCGTGAACTGGACTTGGACTCCGGGATTCAAGTGGAAATCGAGCTCTAGAGCACCGGTAGTCAGCTGTAGCCTAGCAGTGACTCTCTCAGTCAGATCCGTAGAACTACCGGCCCCCCCGGGCACCGGGTTCAACTGAAAAAGCCGGGCCCCCGGGCTCCAGGCGGCCCCCGTGAGGTAGGAAAGAGGTAATCCAGCAAGTACTGGCTTCCTCTGCATCCTCCCGAGTGCAGCCCCCAGACTCTGCCTCGTCGACCTCCAGTCTGCCGCCAGAACCCGAGGTTGCATCTTCTCCTCCTCTTTCAGTTAAGAACCGGCAACGCACTCCTGACGTGATGTCTGACTCCGACCTGTCCGACGGGAACCTCATGGGGGATACAGACAGTGAGGACCAGCCCGAACCTTCTCCCTCACCCCCGGTGCTGGCTGACCAAATTCGTCTAAGCCAGCGCGATATGGCAAGGCGCCTGTCCATCGAGATGTCGGAGGAAGAGCTCGTTAAAGGAATACTTGAGCTTGTCTTCCCGAGGGCTGACCCTGCGACTGCAATGAAGAAGGCTAGCTACCGCTTCGACATCCCCGCTGCCGTGCGCATGATAGTCCGCAAACTCAAGAGCGCGCGAGAGATGGGAGGCTGGAAGAGATTCGACGCGACGGAGTCTGGAGACCTGCCGGAGATCATTGCCGGAGGTGTGACGCAGAACGGTAAGACCAAGATCAAGGTCCTCGCCATCATCACTGCGGGGCTGCTGGGCGTTGGCACCATCCTCCTCTCCACTTCTCATCGCGGAGTGAAGACTCTGACAGACAAGATCAACGAGGAGCTGACTCGGTTAGTGGACAAGAATCTGGGAATAGAGTGTATCTGTCTTCTGGACGTACAGACTCCCACAGTTTGCCCTAGAATCGTCCTCAAGTTCCTCCAGACCGGCTGCTGTTCTCTCCCCGACACTGCTTTCCGGATCAAGCAGATGCATAAAATCCTTGATGAAGCTGGAGCATCTGACTACCCGTGCCAACTCATCATGGATGAGGCGGACTCGTTCTATCGCAGCCGCCGTGCGGTGGTTGGAGCTGACGAGGAGTCCCTGTGCAAGAGGCAGGTCAAGATTACCAAGCTCGAAGAGTCCCTAGACGAACTTCGAGGCGTCGCCCACCTCGTCCTCCGCTGGAACGTCTCTGCAACTCTTGTCCCGGTCTTCCTGCACCTTCAGGACAAGCGCGGGGGGGGTCGACACTCAGTCGATCCTCTATACCAAGCCGGAGGGAGACTACAACGGAGTGGTTGACTTCAAGCCCCTCGTGGTGGACGGAGAGGAGGAGTTCCTCGAGTACGGGGACCTCAAGCCAAACAAACTCTACTGTAACAACCTGACGGACGAGATGTTCAAGCAGGCGTTCAGCAAGAACAAGTCCCTCACGCTTGTCATCACAAACAGCCGTGTCAACACCGTTAACAATGTCTTCGACCTCGCCAAAAGCCTTCAGCGGGACTATCCTTATGTTGCCGCCCTCGTCATCGTGGGAGGCACCCGAGGCATCTCCTACTTCCCTCCGCCTGATCCCAGAGCTCCTCTCAACGGCTTGGCTCCGAGCAAGGACGAGCTGAACACGAAGCCGCAGATCTCAGTGAGTCAGGCCATGGAGATGGTCGACCAGCATGCTGGGATCGACACTCCGCTTGTCATCATCGGCTACTCGCAGATGATCCGTGGCGACTCCTTCAGGAGCTCCCTCCGCGTCCCCACCCACCTCATCTGCGCCTTGGGAACCGCCATGAGCATCGAGAAGATGGTGCAGGCGATGGGGCGACCGACGTATCAGAACAGCACGCTCGAGAGCAACGGCTTCTCCCACGTCACCGTCCTCACCTACGCCATGGACTTCGACACGGCCCAGGCCTACCCGCAGTGGCTCCTCGAGATGGAGAAGAAGCTAGCTGACGGCATGACGCTGCCAGAAGCGCTCTCGAGCTCGGCTCAGTACACGGATAAGGCCAACATCACGCACCGCCAGCGCAAGTCCATTGGTCAGAAGAAGGACATGCTGAGCTTGGACGTCTCCTACTCCGGCCCCGAGCCGGGTCAGGAGCGGCCAGGACATCGCTGGCTCAACAAGCGTATGCGGAGCAACCCAGTAGCCAGCAAGCTCATCGACATTGCAACGAAGCACGCGGAGACCTACGAGTCCTATATGCAGGAGCTGCAAACAGACTCTGAGGTAGGAAGGACGGCGAGGCAGTTCTGCGACGAGTGGAACGAGAGCTTGTCGGAAGGAGAAGCAGCCTCGCTCAGCTTTGTGACGAGCAACCTGAACAAGCTTGTCTCCAACGGCATCATGAAAAAATCCAACGACAAGCCAGCGAAATACTGGCTGCCAAGCAAGGACATCTAAGGGACAGGCAACGGCTGAATGACATTTGTGAGTTTGTTTGCTCAAAAGGGCCCCCAATAAGAGGACCGTGCGGGACTTGAAGGCTCTTGTGTCCTTTGAAGAGGTCAAGCAATATGCTTTCAACTTAAGGTTTTAATGCTGAGAGTTTAGATAAAGAGTTTGCCGAGAGACTCGGGAAGAAAGAGGTGGGAGGCATATCATGATTGGCACTGCTTCGAGAGATGTAGTGCTGACCATACGAGTCCATGTCTTATAGGGAATGTGAGTAGAACATTCAAAAGATTATCATGTTTCTGCTCTGTTTCCTTTGTTATGGTTCAATTCGATTCGGATCTTGGTTGTCTACTTCTGCTAGTTGTTTCACATACTGCCGACTCGAAGTCTGCGTTGATTGCCTTCAGCTGCTGAGAGTTTGAAATCCTTCAGGTCATGTGCAGCTCTACCCCAATGTGCCAGCCATGAGTCATCAGTGATGACGACGTGGCTTCAACCCTCGATCATCTTCATGACTTGAGTTGTTGCAGTAAACATGCGCACAGGTACTCAACTATCTCAAAGTCTCTCCAGCCATCATAGTGCAATAGTGCGACTCATCAAAAGTCGCAGGAGGCGACTGAGAGGTTTAATGAATAATGTCAGGGATGCAGGAGAATCTACTTCCCCAACGACGAGACGAAGTTGTCGATGTTGAACGCTTCCTCGTACTGAGCTTCGTCCCAGAGTTCTTCCAAGTTCTGGAGCACCTGGGACAGCTTGCCTGTCCCTGCTGCCTTCTCCTCTTCCTTCCCCGCGGCTTCCTTCTTCATGGTGGCTCCTTCAGCTGGGCTGAACAGGTCAAGCAGCTGGGAAGTGTCCATGTTGCGGAGGGAGGCGTTCTCCTCGTTGATGACGGAGTTGGCGATGGAGAGCTTGAACCGCTGCAGCCCCATGATCTTCTCCTCCAGCGTGTTGCGAGTGATGAGCCGGTACACGTTGACAACCTTCTTCTGCCCGATGCGATGCGCGCGGTCCATGGCCTGCAGGTCTCTTGTGGGGTTCCAGTCGTGCTCGACGAAGATGACGGTGTCTGCTCCCGTGAGGTTCAGCCCGAGGCCTCCGACGTGTGTCGTGAGCATGAGAATGTCGATGGATGGGTCACTGTTAAACTTCTGCTGGATCTCGAAGCGACCGTTGTTGGGCGTCGAGCCGTCCATGCGGAGGTAGGTGACGGAGGGGAGGTGCTTCTTGAGGAGATCGTTCTCGATGATGTCGAGCATGGTCTTCATCTGAGCGAAGATGAGGACCCGATGCCTCGAGTCCTCGTTCGCCTCCTGCTGCATCAGATCCCCTTCCTCGTCCTCACTCGCGGCGCCGATGCCGCACTCTTGAAGCAGCTCCTTCAAGGCAACGAGCTGCTCCAACATCAGACATGCGGAGACGGATGAAGGATTGAGAAGGAGATGGGAGATGGGAGGGATGATGATGGAGGAGTGCAAGCGGAGGGGAGAGACATTTACGAGGAGGAAGGGAAGAGCCAAGGGGAGAGACTCACCTTGGGTGCGAGGGAGATATCTGAGAGGTCCATGTTCTTTGATTTGAGCTCTTGCGCCACCCTGGCCATCTCAGGGTGCGAGGGGCCCAGCACGAGCTTAGGATGGTTCGCCAGCTTGCGAAGGTACTGCAGAGCCTGAAAGATGTGACTGGCGACCCCTCCTCCCTCCTTACTCTTCCCTTCCTCGCCCTCGCCCTTGATCGCAGTTGCCACCATCTCGTTGGCCTTCTGCTTGGCAGCAAAGTCGTTGTAGAGCTTCTGCTGGAGGGGCGAGAGGTCGCAGTAGTAGTCCTGGATGATCTTGGGCGGCAGGTCCGACAGCACCTCCGTCTTAGTGCGCCGCAACATGAACGGCAGCACCTGACGATGAAGAGCCTCGAGCGCGAGAGCTCCGGCCTCAGACTGCTGCGAGCTGCACTTGGCGTTGCGGGAGGCTCGGATGGGTTTCGAGTAGGCCTGGTTGAAGTACTTCTCGGACCCCAGAAATCCAGGCATGAGGAAATCGAACAGGCTCCAGAGCTCGAGCACGTTGTTCTGGATGGGAGTGCCGGAAAGGATGAGGCGATGGTTGGCCCTAACCGCCTTCACCGCCTGTGTCGTCTTGGACTTGGCGTTCTTGATCATGTGCCCCTCGTCGAGCACGCAGTAGTTGAAGGTCAACTTGCCCATGAAGTCGATCTCGTTGCGGAGAGTCTCGTAGGAGGTGACGACGACGATGTCTCCTCCTTTCGTGATCGTCTCCTGCAGCGCCGACCGCTCGCTCGGGGACCCCACGAACTGCACGCACTGCAGCGCCTGGTCCGGCAGGAACTTGGAGATCTCAAAGTCCCAGTGGCCGACGAGGGTCGGAGGGCAGACGACGAGGGAAGGGAGGGGAGCGCTGCCTGGGTCGCGGTTCTCGGCGAACTTCTTCCTCCTGTTATGGTGATCGGAGGAGATGATGCAGATGGTCTGGAGGGTCTTGCCCAGTCCCATGTCATCGCAGAGGATCCCGTGCAGCTGGTACTTCATCAGGAAGGCCATCCAGTTGACGCCCTCCTGCTGGTACCTCCTGAGGTCTGCCGCGATCTTGACGGGGATCTCGTAGTTGTCGATCTTGGAAGTGTCCAGCAGCTGCTCGAGGAACCTTCTCTCCTTCTGCTTCTCCAGGATCAGGTCCTGGCTCAGCCCTTCAGGGTCAGGGATGCCAGCTTCCAGAGGGAGGAGGCGCAGCAGCGTGGCGAAGCACTTGGTGACGGTCTGCCTCACAGCGGGGTGAGGGTCAGACATGCGTCCGAGGATGGGGACGACGAAGAAGATAGCGAAGGGGAGCACCGCCATGTCCATGACGTCAACGATGCGGAAGAGAGCTTCAGTAGCGCCCAGCCTCCTGCTCGCGTCGTCCGTGTCCCCAAGCAGCGGCATCACCTTGCGGATCACGGTCTCCATCCCCAGCACAGGAGCGACACTGCAGAATTGAGCAAGGAAGCGAGCAGCCATCTGCCGGATCGGGGCTTGCTTCGACTGCAGGGCATTGACGCTGTAAGGGAGAAGACATTTCACGCTCTCCATGTCCTCCATGTGCAGGCACGGCAGCAGGCAGCTCGCTACCTGGAACGCATCCACCACCTCCTGCGCCTGCGCGACTTCCAGTATCCTCTTGCTCTCGCCCTCGAATCCAGCCTTGATGGGATCCACCAGCCGGGTGAGGAGAGAGGGAAGGACATCGAAGAGCCCGGGCCCCATCCCCTTGGCCATCTCCTCAAGCGCCATGCTGGAACCGCGCTTCTTGATGCGGTTGACCCGCTCGTGGTTGTCCAGTGAAGTTATGATCGTGCTGTCGTCGGGAGGCACATAGGTGACGTCATCCAACGTCACCGAGTCGGGACAAGGCTTCGTGTCCGTGCACCGAGGGGTGAAGGTTGTATCCTCGCACAGGTATGCGGCAAGATTGTTGATAATCTTGCCGTTGGGACACGTCTTCCTGCTCGCGCACTCCCGCAGCAGCCCGACCAGCGACCTTGCCGACCGTCTCTGCAGATCTTCATTGTTCTCGTGTTGTATGCTGTCCATGATGGATCGGATGACAGGAGCGACTTTGACTGGGAGGTTCCTTGCAGCGACTAGGACAGAGGCGACGGCCGACAGGACAGACGTGTGGAGGTTAGTCTGAACCTCCTGAAGTTGCCCGATGGTGACGTAAACCTGACGCACTGCCTTGTCTCTTGCCTTCTTGCCTTCCGCTCCCCCGCTGACTTTGTCCGCTGCCTTCGCCAGCTGCTGCTCCCAGTCCTTGCTTGCTTTCTCTGCGATTTGAAGACCTTGCATGACACCAAGGGACTCCAGCTCGAGCTTCACCTTCGCCTCCTTGACCTTCGCCTCTGCAAACAGCGAGACCATGGCCTTCAAGTCCTGCTTCCACTTCGCCGACAGATGGGCGATCTCAGCATAGGGATAATCCGTCTGCCCGACAGACCCCAGCTTCGCATCCAAGATCTCCTGGATGCCGTCGGGGATCTTGAAGATCGAGGTCTTCGAATCTGGAGAAGCGTCAGCGGCAGCCCTTGAGCTCTTGTCGGAGCTTCACCTTCCTTCCCCCCAAATTGAGACGAGGAGGCCCACTCTTCGAGGACGAGAGCTCCGACTTGCACGTGAGTGCCGTGAGATGAAGACAGCAAGCGCTTCACCTGAACCAACAGTCACTGCAGATCGAAGGAGACCAGGGAAGGGGGAGGAGACCATTGGAGGAAGGCGGAGGAAGCAAGGAAAAGTGAGCAGGGGAGAGAAGGAGGTGAAGGAGGAAGGAGGAAGGAGGAGGGAGGACGAGGACGAGGAAATTCACCTCATTGGTGAAGGGGTTCAAATCGCCTTCAGTCGACTGCAGGCGCCAGATGAGACCTCCGATGGCTCTAACCCCGGACAACCGCATCCTCACTGATGCTGAGAAGTCATCCAAGTTTGTCAGAGCGTCGCTTGGGTCATCCTCGTTGTCTCCCTCCGCGCTTCTGATCCCCGTGTCTGTGACCTGAGTCCTGGCTATCCCCTGCTGGCGCTTGCGCTGGGCTCGAGCTCGGGAGGCGCTGACGGAGTAGTTGACGCCAGCAAAGACCTCGGGGTCAAGAGGGCAGCCGGGAGGGGTCGAGACAGCAGAGAACCACAGGGGAAGCTTGGAGGAGATGGTCTCCGAGAGGGGGGAGCCGAAGGATGTGTTGACCAGGATGCTCCAGAGCTCATGAGAAGACTCGGAGATCTCTGGCCGCTGCTCGAGGATGATATTGACAAAGACGTGATGGAGGGTGTCCCCCAAGACCGACATGAGCCACGGGGAGAGCGAAGACAGGTCGAGCTTGTCCTTCGACGTGCCAGGGTTTGCCATCATCACAAGATTTCGGCAAATCTTCAGGACTGATCGCCGGACAGAGAACATGTTGTGACGGAAGAAGGGAAAGAGCCGACGTACCAGGACCGAGAGATCTTTGACTTTGTCTTCTCCTCCTCCAATAGCCGCGGACTTGCTGGATGGGATATTTTGGCACATCTCGGCAATCAGGTTCATCACAGATGCCGTTGAGGCTGCAAGGTAGGTCAGAGGACCAAACAATTCTTGCGCTGGTATTAACAGATGTCAATCAACCTGTGAGGTCGTCAAGCAGCTGTAGAGTGGACCATAATACCCCCAATAAAGGCTGAAACCATCGATTGTCAGGTTACGACAAAACACGAGATAAAAGCTGAATGAAGGGAGGAGGGAGGGAGGAGGGAGGGAGAAGAGATGAAGAGAATTTTCGAACCTTCCCAAACCATTCAAAGCACTCAACATTCGTGACGATGTGGGAAGCCAGTGGTAGAAGAGCCTCAGCAGCGACCGAGCGAACATCATCATCCTCTCCCTCGATGCCTGACCATGGCGACCGTCAAGTCATCAACGCGTCACACATTTACTTCACCTTGTTTGATGACAGGAAGAATAGACTTGAGATAGTGCTCAATAATACCTTCCTTGCGAACAGCAATAGCATATTTCAACCCCAACATTCCTCCGTGTCGAACCTGTTCTTTCATCAGCCATGAGATCATTTACACAAACCTTGCAGACCTCCCAATCCTTCATCTGCTGCATTGCTGCGAGAATCCTTGCGACATGTCCTGTAAGAAACAAAATCAGCGAATAGGCACATCACATCCCAACAATCGTCACCAAGAGCTTCTTCGGACAAATGCCGCAAGATCACACCTAGAGCCTTGAAAACCCCATTAAGATGCAAACAACAACACGGCAACCTTACTTGAGCACAGGTCTCACGGACAGGAGCGACAACCGGATCCGAGACATAATCACCTACACGACTCGTCATTGCAAGTTCCTTGTCAATCAGAATCTCTCACCAAAACGATCAAGAGCTAGACAGCATAGCAGCCTGACTGCACATTCTTCGAGCCAACTCACGTTATCGGCCACTTGCTGCACAGACAGAATCGTTACAAGTCATGTCGGAAGCTCCAACGAGCGACAGGGGGATTTCAGGCAAATTATGCTTGCCTGCTCCTTGGTGGTGTTGGCCCACCTCCCAGAGCCTTTGGCGTGATGCTTCAAAATCTCCTGCAAACCAACAGCAGCTCCGTGCCTGACCTAGTGACCGTGGCCTCACACTCAGGGATCACTTCAAGTCTCAAGTCCTCACCTCCCATGCTGGGTCGAAGATGTCGCAGCAGAGCTCGTCACAGATGGGCCCTAGCGGCCACTCGTTCGGGTCCGCGGTGACAACCTCACTGACTGTCGTTTCAACCACAACCTTGTTGGAATCCTGCCACTCTCAGTAAAACCAGGATCTTTGAAACTCTTCAGGGTGTTGAAGGCAGAAAGTGGAGGTACAGCTCTGTGAACTAACCTGGGGCTGATCAGTGACGACAGACTTTCCCTCCGTGTTGGCAGAGGAGCCATTGTTCGTCTGACTCTTCTCACGCATCAACTTCCTTTGCTTCCTTCTCAACTGATTTCTCTCTCTCGGACTCAGAAGGTCCTCGTTAACCTCGCCGCCGGGTTTCGCGCTACCCTGCAAGTCGTCGATGAGCTCACTAGCCTTTCGCTTGTCGGGCCCCATCCTCTTGTCGCTCTCATCCGGGGCCTTGCTCATCAGATCATCTTCCGCCACCATATCAGAGAGGTTGAACAAGTCGTCTTTCTTCTTCGATATCGCGCTCAATCCTGTCGCTTTCTCTCCTGCAGCAGGCTCTAGCCCCAGGGTTACTCGAAGCTGTTGTTTCTGGAGAGCCAGCCGCTCCTTTGGATCCATACTATCTTCATCGTACTCTGTCCCGGTGGATGACACAAGGATCCTTCCTCTGGCTATCACTCCCTCAACATCAAACTTCGATAGGCTCTCATCCTTCGAGTTCGTATTGACCAGTGTCTCTCCCTCTTCAGTGCTTTGTGGATCCCAGACGGGAACTTTGCGACAAATGGCTTCGATTGCATATCCTGCTGCTACTCTTGTCTCCCATTTCTTGCTCTTGAGTAAAGCTTTCACTCTGTTAACAGCATGTCAGTTTCATCAAAAACAAAAATATCTTCCTTCTAATCCATGCACATCAAAAATCCAAGAACATGCCAGCATTCTGGGCCCCTTTCGTATTCGATGCTCATACACTGTAATCTACCACATCATACTGCTCTGCCTTCCCACAAACACCTCCCCATCAACAGTATGTCGTCCCTTGCATCCTACTCCTCCACCTCCACCTCGCATCTTCCTCCGTCCGTCGTCCCTCTTACCTCCAGAGGATGGTGAGATAGTTCTCACTGTGTGAGAGATCTCCGATCTGGGAAGCTGCTGCTCTTCTTGTCGAGCTCGACGTGCCCGTGTCAAGCAGGAGGATCAGCCGGTCCAGCCGAGTCTCCTGCCCCCCTGCCACCATCGCCCCCGCTCCTCTCCTCATCCCCCTCATTCGTACTCATCCCCCTCATACCCATCGATCAGCAGCGGGGCGCAGAGCGGGGCGGCCGCCCGGCCCGGGGCCCGGCGGAGTCACTGCCGCACGGTCCGGGGGCAGTGGCACGGTGCCTCAGGCTGGGCCGGCGCACGGTGGCTCCCGGCTCGGCGTCACAGTTCTCTTCCTGCCCGCCACTGGGCTGGTCAGGCTTGCGATAGGTAGGGCAGCTTCGCCGCGCAAAACTGCCTTTTTGGTCTTTCTAGTTTTTTGGCTGAGGCGGATGCTTTCTTGCTATGCCTGCTTATTTTTGCATGCCTACCTACCCTTCTATTGAGTAAATTCTAAATCTGAAAAAATCTGCCGCAATGCTGTTGTGAGGCATGCTGTTGGGAGGCAGGTCGCTAGTACGAGTGCTCACGCTGGCCCAGTATCGTCATAAGATACAAGACTTCTCACATGTACGCTCATGCCAAGAGCGGGCCTGCGCATCAGGCTCTGCTACCTCATCCACCTCCCCTCCCTTTGATGTTACCGATCGCTTCTCAAGCTTTCTCGCTACGGCGAAGAAGTTGCTGGGGGATGATAGTCTAGACGAGAGAGCATATTTTCTAGCGAACCATCTGTTTGTGCTCGAGCTCCAGAAGGATAACGAGAAGCGGCTGCTCGAGCTCCAGAAGGATAACGAGAAGCGGCTGCTCGAGCTCCAGAAGGATAATGAGAAGGAGAATATAGAGGACTACTTCAAATTCCATCTATCGTTCGTATCTCAGAGGTGTGTGGTGTGTTTTCTTGTTGCGCTGAAGAATGATCAACCAAACATGTGCCCACAGGTATTTGCTTGAGTTGCTGTTCCAGAGAGTGATGTATTGCGTGGATTCGAAACACCCAGAGATGATGACCTTGCTGAAAGAGGCTCTTTCTAAAGCCGACCATGACAAACTTATGAGCAGCAAGTCGTTGTCTGTGAGCAGCATCAATAGGATGCTGCAGCAACTAGAGATCAGAGAGATGATGTGGGAACGGATCGGGCTACCAAAAGACCTTGAGATCCCCAACCTGACGGACGACTACCATCTTTACGGAAACCTCTCCGAGGTGGTTCATGGACCACAGGGATCGTTTGTGTACTTGAGCAATGACGCAAGCGAGGTGGAGACGAGGTTTTGGCAGGCGGTGTGCGACAAGTTTGGCAAGACCTTGGACATGTTCGATAGAAAGAAAGTAGCATCAGGCAAGAAGGTGCTGAATGCAAAGCGTCATCCTGGCAAGAAGTAACAACCCAGGTACCTACTTGATCAACACCACAGGCTCTGGTACCTCATCCTCAATGCTTCGTAGAAAGCATGAACAAGTCACCAAGATGAAATATCAGCCGATCGTCGCCATTCGAGCATTGGGTTTCTCAGCTGAAAAACAATGAGAGCATCTCAGGCCCGAGCTTTGTAAAGTGCTGTCATGAATCTTTCTAATATCCTCACGTCCATCTTTTTGAGAGTATATGGCAGGACTCTTGTTGGAGTTCTTCCAAAGCTTTGAATTGTGACATGATTCTTCAAGATATCCAGTTTGCAAGACACGTTTGGTACTTGCATGATTGCCTGGCATAACATCTCGAAGAAATCGTTGATGGTATCACAACCACTGACTCCGTTTTCACCATTTTTTGAGTTGCCAACTGCTGCAGTTCGACCGCGAGCTTGCCTTGTCCAACCCGATCAAACAACTGCTGATATCACAATCAACTCTCATAGTTGAACAAATGAGATCAATGCAGGGAACAAGCACTGCTACCAGGATCTCATCCAACACACTTCGACGTAGCCGAGCAAAGTGCATAGGAATCTCCACGTTCTCGCTCGACACCTGCCAAGAGTGGAGAGGGTGAAGGTCTTAGACGACGACGACGAATCGCTCCTCGAGAAATTCGAAGAGGAGATCTCGGTGTCTGTGGGCTCCAACGAAATGCCAGTGAGGAAGGGTTCGATCTTTCAGCAGCGCAACGTAAATTTGCACCCTCCGAAGAGCGAGAGGGGTAGCGTGATAGAAGCGAAGCAGCGCTTGTCTAGCTTGGTCATGGCGCCTCCAACGAGACCAGAACATGCAGCCTGTTGTTGTCTGTGTCCCCCCTCGCAAGCTCTGATTGTTCCATAGCAGTGACTTCATGGGAGAACAGCGGGGACGACCTGCAGCCATTGGATCATTCAGTTTGTTCTCGTATACACGTCCCCTGGCAAAATCCTACAGAATGTGCCGCGGCAGTGCTGATCGGACACCGGGCAGACTTGGAGGGAGCCTTGCAGCCGGAACGTGAGCCGTCAATTCACGGCGGTAAACGTGACTCGGTGACCGTCGTCACGGTTGAACCGTTGAACCGGGCCGTGAACGCCGGGCCGCCGGGTGGCGGTACGGTACGCCTGAGCCTGGCCGGGCAGGGCCAGCGGACTCCTGCCGGGCCATCCCTGCCTGAATATTACCCCTACCTACTGGATGACCTGACAAACCACCGGCACAGATATATCGGCCCCCTGCCCATGGCGACAGAACGAGGATGAAGGTGGAGGGCCTACGAGGGCGATGAGCGGGGCAGGTGAGACCCTTGCAGGGACCGTCGTGAAGAAGAGACGCAGGGAAGAGATGGGAAGTAAAGGGATGGGTTTGGAAGGGAAGGGATGGAAAGCAAAGGGAAGGGAAGGGAAGCAAAGGGATTGGATAGGCGTGGAGATTAGGAGCAAGGAGAACAAAATACTAGGAAATCTGAAGGGACAGAAGAAAGCACTGCAGTGATCAATACGAGTAAGGAGGAACGTAATGTTAGTTTTGATGGAAATCGCTCTCTAAGGAAGCAGATATCTGATAACAGTCTTTGACTTGGAGCAGGTTCTTGTAATGTAACAACTGAGTTCGTGCTCTTGTCTTGTTGCACGTTGAAGCCTTGAGCCACGTTCTGCTCGTTCGATGACAACAAGCTCAAAGCTCTTTATGCTTCTCATCGGGGGTCTCTTCTCGCCAAGTTCCTCCTTCAGGAGCTTCCACTTGACTGCCAGCAAACTCCGATGTTGTCAGTTGGCTTGCTTGCACGAGAGGTCACGTGGGGTCATGAACAGTGTCGTTCGGTGCTCGCTCCCCTTACAGTTTCCTCACGGCATGGAAACAAGCCTATCAAGTCCACAAGCACGTTTGTTGCAAGCAGCATCAAGTCTCGATAGCAACATCGTCCACCTGTGGATGGTTGGTACCGACGAGGTTCGCAAGATTGGGGAGGAGCACGAAGCAGTTTTGAGGTATCAGGAAGAGTATTGCTCTGCTCGTCTCACAATATCAAAGGTCTCTACTGAGCCCTGAGGAATCCGCAAGATACCTCCGAAGCATGCAAACAGCCAAGGCGATGGAGCAGGTATGAGCTAGGACACCATGCACGGCCATTCATAAGAGTTGGTACAGGCTTATTCGTTCTTGCTGGCACGAGCACTTCTAAGAACGACTTTATCGAGGTGTGATATTGACATGGTGAAAGACTGATCAAGATGATGCTGTTTTTCCTTTGTTCTCCTCGTCAGGTACTGCAGTGATGTCAAACCACAAGAATGGAATTTTATCATGAACGAGCACGGGTAACTCAAATGATATGCTCCTTGAAGAAGATATGAAGTAAACGGAGGAACATGCAGGAAGCCTGAGATAGACTTCGACAACCTGAAAGCTCGAAGGGTAAAGTTCTCACTTGAGACCATAGGTGGCTTCTGACACCTTGCAAAGATTCCTGAGCAGTTCAAGAGTCTTCGTTTCAACCTCTCGTGATCTTCATAGTCCTGTCATGTATCTCGAGTGATCGAAGCGATCAGGCACTGCTCAGGAATGGTCTGCTGCGCCGTCTCAATCGGTAGAGACGTCGGAGTAGATTCTGAGCTCATCTCCACCAAGAGGTCAGGAGAGCCTTGAGAGGTGCGACCTGCTAACGTCAATGCTGGACCAGGAGGATCTTGTCCATTGCTGAGAGATTCTTCTCTGAAGCTGAATTTGAAGAGCTCAAAAAGGTTTGCCATGTATGTTTGCTCCCGTCCTTGCGCTCAAACACGATTGCCTAGATTCATCCTGACAGGCAGCAGCTGGTCTTCTCACGCTTGTGGACGCTGAAAGAAGCATATGTCAAAGCGAGAGGACTGGGAATCTCGGGTGAGGAGGAGGTGGAGGCAGAGGAAGAGAGGTGGGAGAGAGAGTGGGGGAGTAATAGAGGAGGAGCTTTGGAGTGGAAGGGAATTGATGCTTCACAGGTGTTGGACTGGACAACTTCGAATTCACCGAGGCAAGCGGATTCATTTTTTCACTGCAACTCTCTGACAACGTTTGCAGGTTGAAAATTTGCAGCACGAGTGGCCGACGCAATCGATAACAGCAGGTTTGATCGAGAAGACTCAGTTGTGTCTTCGGGTGACTTGGTGACAAACGAGAAGATTTGTCGAGAGTCGGCGATGACGGTGATCAGTGGAAGTTCTTGATAGTGAATCCTCCCAGTGTCTCACAGTGAGGCCCTCCGACTTGTTTCTTTGTTTCTAGTCACTCTTGGTGCAGATCGACAGAGCGCAACTCTCCCGCTCATACAGTCTCCCTTGCAGTTGGAGGTACCTCTGTCCTGACTATTCATTCTTTCCTTGAATCTCCTGACGCCATGGCAGGTCAAGAACCGTTCGAGCTTGTCTGCTTGAAGACTGTCCCATGTCATGTAACGCCAGATGTCTTGTTGGATCCAAGGTCAACATAATGTTGTCCATTGTTCACTTGTTGTGATTCCGCATTCCGCATCGTCCCTCTCTGCCACTGATCGCAAACTTTGCAGCATTCGAGCCGTGGAATCTTTGCCGCGCGTAGAGATGCTGTTGTGAGTTCAACTCCTTTAAAACCAACATTGGAAACATGGTTGTAAGCTTAAAATGATAGTAAAATTATTTGAGAACATCACAGAATTCTTTAAAATTATGGTTGAAAGAACATGAAATCTGCATTCCTATGGGATTTTCCTCATAATAGGTTGATCTGTATTAGAATAGCAAGGACCATCACAAACGCTGAGAGAAGTACGACCTGCACATGTATCATAATGATATTCTGTACGATGATTAACCCAAGGCAAAAGGAGAACAGGGGGAGGAAGTAGTGGCGGTAGTGGTAGTGACAATTCGGAGTTTTGATGGAGAGAAGAGGGAAGAGGAAGATCAAGTCCATCGTCACAAACTGTCTCGCTCCCTCACCAGCCACGCCCTTGAAGGTGGTCTTGGTTCCGGCAAGTTGTCAAAACTCTCTTCGAGTCGACTCATCTGCTTCAGGGATTCTTGAGTATTCTGACCCATCTTGTTTACCTGCAGCTCCGACAGTCAAGTCCTTCGAGCACTTTTCAACTGATCTCTTACAATCAGACTCAATCTTCTGATCTTCCTCTCGCACTCCACTCTCCGCGCGTCGTACTCCTGTTTGACGAGACCATCATTGCCAAGACTTCAAGTCTGATCTACCTTGAGTAGCTCGTCATGCTCCTTGTTGTTCTCCTGTGAGAAAGATCCACAGCAAGTCAGCGCACGAGTGATCGTGGCAGACCTTTTGACACACTTGAATGTTCTCGATGACCGCCTCGGAGAGCTGATGAATTTCATCGTCGTCAGATGCAGAAGAGAAGTTGTGAAGACGTGGGAGGTGTCAAACCTTTCCAAGGTCCTCTGCAACGACGTTGATCATCTTTGTTGTCTCATCGAGCTCGTGGCTAATCTTTTCCAGCTCGTCCAAGTCAAAGGCAAAATGTACATCAGGGTCCTGCCCTGTCCTGTGAGAACGAGCAAGACAGCGACATCTCTCACGTTGACGTTCTTGTGAGGTCGTTTCAAGGCCATCAGCCGGACCATTAGCTGCGATATTCTCTGCTCTTCTTCTTGTGCGAAACTTCGCAAGTACTATCAACTTCGTCAACTTTCCCTTCGCGACCAGGGAGACTTGGTATAACCTGGCTGAGATCTCTCTTCTCCTTGAAAGAATGCTCCAGAGCTTGAAGGGAGCTGATGTCAGCAAGCTTCAGCACAATAGAAGATAAGACTGGCTGTGTGCGGTATCACTCGGAGTTTCTGATGGTGTACTCAGGGGCTTTCGAATCTTCGGGTAGTTGCTCAACCGCACTTGACAGTGAGAGCTGAGAATGGTTGCTGGAAGACCTGCAAACATCGAATCATCCAACAGTTTTCCATGCCCAACGACAAGCTCCTTTCCTTGCCATGTCGGTCTGTAACGACCCCAAATCAGCAGTGACGACGAAATCCTTTGCACCCTGGTTGAGGAATGACCTGCCGTGAACGGTGAGTTAGTGGATCAGAAGGCGCATGTGGCAAGGTGGGGAGAAGATGAAGGCAGGTATATCTCTACCTTCTCGTCATGTACCCTCGTACAATCGCCTGCAATCTGGCTGCATTCTTCCACCTGACTTGCGGATCTTTCCTGTGGAACAGCTTTTCACGTTCCAGATCTGACATGACGGATTCCATTCCATCCAAGGAGGCGAGCTCACTTGTGGAGTCCTGTGCACAATCAGAAGCTTGTCAGTCCATGTTGACATGAACTAGACAGCAATCACACCATCATCGTGTGGCTGATATCGTTGTCGGATGCCGCCATGATGGCGGTGCTGAAGCTGTCGGTGAATGCGCTCTTCTCCGATCTGCTCGTTGATTGTCATTGCAGCATCGTTGCATGCGAGGACTCGAACATCAGACGGGAGGGCATGCCGCCAGACGTAGGATACGGCGAATAAGCTGAATGGAACTGCAGTCTCCTGCTGCATAAAAGAAATAAGAGCCATGGGTTGTCTTAATGGAGCCATGAAAGAAAAGAAAACATACTTGGCAGATCTGAGAGACGACAGATTATCTCGCCACAAGTCAAAGTCTTGATGATTCTGAAAATTTGATCAAGGTGGGTCAAAGTCGGAAGACAGGAAGCGTATTGTACTTGGGCGCAGAGGTATAGAGACGAGACGCCGGGTCCGCTTTGGTCGTCGTAGGTGATTGAGATGCACAGGTCCTCGTCCTCAGTCCCGTGGCCTACTGAATGCTTACGAACGGTGCGAGGATAATGGAACGGGAGGAGGGGGACAGGAGGAGAGGACAGGGGGAGACGAGTGAGGAGAATAAGAGGATAGAAGAGGGTGAAAGGAGCGGGAAAGGAGATGATGGTGAAAGAGCAGGACCTGGGTGGTTCGATGACTCCTCCTGGGCTCCAAAGCAGATGGATCTCATGTCCTGAACGTAGACCTTCCTTTCCTTTCTCAGAGAGATCCATGACGGCTGCTTCCAGGTCAGTGCCAGGCCATGTTTGGAGTACTTCAGCTGTCGCTCTATCAGAACACAAGAGCAGGCCTTTCCTATCAGAACCTGGAAGACTCTCAGATGGCGGGAGTGAGACAAGTCCCTCCTGTTCGAGACTTCAGCATAAGAGTTGGAGGAGCCAGAGGAGGAAGCATTACCTTGTGCTGCTGTACTTGTACAGCAAACTTCCCTCCCTGACAGTCTTAAGTTTGGACAGCAACATTGCGACAAGAGGATCTCACTTGTCCGACATGTCGGCAGCTTGGCGGTGGGGCTACACGTTCTTCCTTCCTTCCATCTCTTGCTTCTCCCTTCCATCACCCGGTGCTGCCATTCCCCTGCTTGGTTCCCTCTTCCACTTTTCGCTATTTACATGTGGTGTTCTGCAGAATATTCCTATCCATCACCGAGGCAAGCTTGATAAGCTTAGCTTTTACCTTTGATGAGTAAAATCGCCTTGTCAAGCCGTAGATCTTTTTCTGGTTGGTCTCAATGCTGCGTCGAAACCGAAACCAACATGGCAGGCTCGGAATGAGATGCTGAGACTAGGATGAAGAGAAGGGACTTCACTCGTCCTGCCAGGACAAGCGGCACCATCAGAGTCTCGACTGTGCTGCTCCTGCTCTCTTGGTCGCTGTGCTCCGTTGGAGCATATGACGAAGTGGATATGGGAAACATCGTACAGGTTCATGCCTCTCCCTGCCGTAGTTTCTGCTCATGATCATCCGCAGAACTTGGGCAAGATGGTGACCTTCTTCTCCTGCGAAGTTGCTGGAGGGGGTGACCTCGACTTGTGCGTAGCAAGAGGTGGGTCCGCCCCGAATCGTTCATGCAAGTGAACTCAGGTTGCAGGAGCAAACCTGTCCCAGAGATCTCCGAACATGCAGTCGATGATGGAGGGGTTGGCGACTCCAAGTTCTGGTTCGTGTGGAAGGGGGAGGAAGGGCAGGGAGGAGTTGAGCAAGGGAGGCAGGGTCAGTGATGTACGAACGGACCCTTGTGAACGGCACCAGTAAGTGTATAACTGGGTTGACGGCAGCTGATGACTGAGATGCTGATCAGATGTCTCCAAGATCATGATCGATAGGAGCTCGTCTCCCTTGAAGGAATCGGCGAGCATCGTAGCCAGCATGGTGTTGCGATTGCGATGGAGTCTGATTGTGGTGGTTGAAATCTTTCTTGACATCAGGCCAAAGACATCGACAATATGCCGAGTGTTAGCAAGAATCAGCCGTTGCAGAGCTTCGGGGCTACATGGAATGTAATCAATCATACTTGTCACTTCGATCATGCCGGTGATTGTTCGGATATTCCAGTTGAAAGGAAATGCCAGCGGGTTTCTAAAGGTGAAAAAGAGGAAGAAGCGTTTCTATGATTGCTGAGATTGAATTCTGTCAAGGACGTTCCAGTAGACTTCTCTTCCTGTGGGTTCTACCCTCCGTCCTACTACGAGAGTGAAGACCATTTCTCTCCCCGTGCTCGCACTGACGTGGGAGCCAGATCTGACTGAAGGCGTCAAGTACGCGTTATTGCAAGAGACAAAAGCCTCGGGGGAATGGTGCTCGACGTTGAGGGTGCGTGAAGGCGGAGAGGGTCGAAAGTTGAAGGTTGACCCTCGAGCAACAGAAGTATGACAGCTCCAGCCTTCATGTCGGTTTCCGGTATTTCTCAACAACGTCGGGAGTCTTTACATCGTACCCGGGTGAAGATTCATGATTGTTGCAACGCGGGTTTTCCTTGATCTCGTGTTGGTAACCCTAATTTAAGTTCCTTCTATTTTCTCTGATTTGATCTGTTGAGAAGCTGTCATGTGTCTTTCACATCACATTGATCATAATCATCATACAAAAGCGCTGCAAGCAAAAATCTGTGAACTTGCCCTGCTGACTGTCTGCTGGTTTCAGCGTCATCTTGGACGTTTCCACTTGCGTATTTCAACTCAATGCTGCAGCCTGTCAGACTGCCAAATCAGGTGAGGTTTCGAACTGGTCTTGTACATATGACTGTGACGATGACAGGAAATATTTGACGCAAGACGAGACTTGTGGTTTTCGTTCTCATCATCCCGTCCCAAGGACGTCTTCCTTGTAGTCGACAACTCTCCCTCCCTCGACAGGTCCTGCAAATTAGTCAGTTTGCGACCTAATGGACTACGACAGCTCCAGCTGGTCACAAGTGAGGGCAACGGTTAAGAACATCTTGAACTACCTTGTTACACCTCTTGACACTGTTGGAATGATTCTTCAAGATGGAAAGCAGGTGAACGATCGACTTTTATCTTCATGCCTCACATTCCTCTTGTGTGCTTTTCTGCCTTCCCATCTCAATGACCTCTGTTTCGTCCTTCAGCCACCGTGCGCTTCTGAGACGATGGTCATTGCGACTCCGGAAATGGTGATTTGCTGTAAACTTCAGCATTGACGGTGACAATTTTTCAAGATATCCTCCCTCTCTTCTTGGTTCGAATCAACAACTTTGAGTTCTGGACAGGCATACGTTCCCAACGTCCTTCAGACTGTAGGAGCTGCTGAAGGGGAACCTGTTTCTTCTCCAATAACAATACTCTGCAGACTTGTCAGCTGCTGCTGGATGCGCGAGACAAGAACTTGTCGTCAGGTCTGTTCCCTGGTGTCCGTTACAAGGAGCTGAAAGATCTCAAGGGCCTCAATACCTTGTCTTCATCTCCGACGGCGTCTTGAACAATTTTGAGTTTTCCTGCAAACAAGAACTGGAGGTGCCTGATAAGAACGAGAGTTGCCGTGAAAGTTACCAGGCTCGCAGTCTCGAAATATGACACACCCGGTGAATGGGCTGTTGTTCATCACACTATCCGTCGGCAATCAGGGCAATGTAAAGACTTGATGTGCAGACTTGGCCTCGAGTGATCTTACTATGTCAGATGCTAGAGCAGCTGTCCTGCAAGTCAAATGGGATGTGGTGATTTTGGAAATGACAACCTGACTTGACGTGACTTCTTTCATGGTTGGCAGGTGGAATGTTCCAACAAGCACTGTAGACATGTTCGTTGTCTTCTCTTCCTTCATCCGAGATTTTACTCGGTGATGAACAAGAGGAGGAACTTGCTTGCCTTTCCTTATTGTTCTCTACTCCTTCCTTCCGACCTTCTACCTCCTCTCCTCTCCTCTCCTCTCCTCTTCTCTCCTCTTCTCTCCTCTCACGTCCCCTCCCTCTTTTCCTTTCATCGCCTCTCATCACATCTCACCTCACCTCACCTCATCCCATCCCATCTTCTCATACATTCTCACATCATTTCATCTGTTCTCATGTATCCCCCGCTCTTGTGCTCGTCAGAATTTTGCTCTTCACACACAATTGCCATCAGGTTTGTCACAACGACGCAGACCGCCAACACGACAGATAGCATAGCAGCTGTGACTTTCCTTCCTGTTCGCTCAAGATCCTTCAACATCCCCCGGCCACTTCTCACTGTGGCCAAGTCGGTTTTCAACACCAGGTTGACACCAGCACGTTTTACAGGAGTTGTTGTAAGTACTCTGCATGATGGAAGTACTTGCGGTCATTCACTCTAATGACACTGACAGGCGATTGATGTTGATCTCAACGATGTCATCTCAACTTTCCTGCAAGCTCGGGCCTCCATCGATCTCTATTTTGGTTCGTCTTTGTGTTACCAATCAGCGTCACATCTCGAAACTATATCTGTCTAAGCTGAAATACTCGTCAAACCCCCCCATCTGTCTCTTTCGACATATCATCACAAATGCGCAGCATCTTGTCTTCAAAATGTTCACGTCTGACAGATTGTATTTTCAGAATCCTTCATCCTGTACCTCAAAGGCAACTCTGGGGGCCTGTTGTCTCACAGGTGATATTATGAAATGCGCAGAACAAAGAGCGAATTTGTTTACAGCTGGGGGAGATTCTACCCGAAGATAGCATCAAACACAAGTGAACGCAGATTCGTCATGGTGAGATCCGATCATTGCATTTTCCTCATGTTGTGAATACTTCTTTCGTGCTACTTCAAACTTCTACTTCACATCTCTACTTTTTCTTCTGCTTTTCACGTCTTCTTCTTCTTCACTTCTACTTCTGATATCCACGCCCAACCTCCTTTTTGCACTCCTTTTGTTCATGGTTATTTTCACTCCTTGTCATTGTTTCATTTTTACTGCTTCTTCTTTTCACTTGTCCTGCTTCTTACTCCCTGCAACTCCTCGTCTATCAGGCCGACAACGTGGTTGATCTCGAAGGCAGTAACTTCATTTCTTCGGGCATTTACCGTCGAATCTTAAGGGAACCTCAAGGCTTCGCGAGCATGCAGCGACATCGATGGGTTCAGGTGGAGCAGAGCTGGGGATGGGAGGATGTCTTCAAAATCTCATTTGACAAGTGTGTGCTCTTGACAGGTGGGGGATAAAATCTTAGACAACTATCAGACCATGAGCTACTTCTGGATGAGGTCAAGAATTATCTTGCTGTTGGAGGATGCTCAGCGTTGTCGTTGTGATTGATTCATGGATTGATGATGACAATGTTGTTGTTGAAGATGTTAGTGATGTTGATGTTGTTGGTGTTGTTGATGTTGATGTTGTTGGTATTGTGTTGTTGATGAAGATGAAGATGATGATGATGATGATGATGATGATGATGATGATAATTCTATTCAGAATCCCATCTATGGACTTTGCGCTTGTCTCAGTCATTCCAGGGCAGTACGTAAGCCATGGCAACTTTGCTATCAGTTGTATCGAGTGATATCTTGCTATCTTGCTGCTTCAGATCGACGTCAAAGACGGTCTCATGCTCATCGAGACTCTTGCAGCGCCTCCGACATGCGACAAGATCACCGTGAGCCTTTTCCTGACATGATGAAAACTTTTGACATGATGAAAACTTTGACATGATGAAACCTTTGACAAGCTCGGATTTCTGGCTGCACTGACTTCGTGTTCCAGGATTTCTCATACCCTCCTCCTTCCTGCTGGACTCCGAACTCTCTCAACTTTCATCGACTCGATCTCATCGGTCAGTTTGCGCATTCTCTGCCCACATGACATGTCGTATCAGGCCTGTCCCTTCCGGACTACGACAGTGATCGGCGGGTAGCAACGTCGTCAAGCACGTTCTTCTTGGCTCCTCGCAGCTTCAACTCGCCTCATCTGTACCTGCAGACTCCCTGGAAGGTCTCGCAAGTCATCAGCATGCAGCAACTTGTTAATGTGCAGACGGAAGATGCGACTAAGGTTGACCCGACGACTCTGGGAGGTGGGGTAACGAGGACAGCCTTGCGGTGCCTCCGAGTCAGTTCCAGAATCGCTAATTTCTGGTTGGAATCTTTGACAATTTTGTCGTTTCCGTCGTTGTCGTCGTCATCATCATCTCAATCATCATCTCAATCATCATCTCAATCATCATCTCAATCATCATCTCAATCATCATCTCAATCATCGTCATCTTTACAAGACAACATTCAGTCAATATTCTTCGCATGTGAAGAAGGCGTCATGCTCATCTTTCCCGGTCAAATCTTCGACGACTTCATGGACCCAACGACTCAGGGCTGGTACCTCGATACCGTCAGGCTGGCCGACAAGCTCGTTGTCGCTCCTCCTCGACTTGTCTCTGCGTCAAACCCGACCTCTTTCTTCCTCAACGGGCAGGGGCTTGTCATCACCGTCACAACAACCGTCAAGCACTCCAAGAATGCAAAGACGACTTTCTTGCCGGCCGATGCAGCAGCAGGACGACTGTTCGGAGTGATCGGAGTCAACCTGACATATGATACGTTCGTCGATCAATTTATCCAGTCTACGTCTTCCTCTCAGGACCGAAAGTTGGGATGCAAAGACAGGTCTTGAAAATACCCTCGCTCCCTCTCTCCTCTCCTCTCCTCACCTATCCTCTCCTCTCCTCTCCTCTCCTATCCTCTCCCCCTTCCTCCCCTCCTTTCCCTTACTACCCTATCCCATCCCATCCCATCCTCTTCTCTCCCGTCCTCTCCTCTCCTCTCCTCTCCTCTCCTCTCCTCTCCCGTTGAATTAAACTCCTCTCCCTCTCAACTTCCTCCCCTACGACTCACCTTGCTTCAGGCCTCAAGTAGCATGCTACATGATCGATGAAGCAGGGTACATCATCGTCAGCCCACAGGCCATCGACATGAGGTTGAAAGGGCATAACTTGTCATTTCCTTCCCCATCCTCCTCCTCCTCCTCCTCCTCCTCTTCCTCCTCCCTTTCTCCCTCTCACATCACCATCGTGGAGCCTCTAGTGGTGGAGCAGCTTCTGCTTGAGGGAGTCATGGTCAACAGCAAGCAAGTGCAAGAGGACCTGTACGCCTCTTCCTTCTCCGTTAACCTGTCCTCCCTCGGCGACCTCCGTCAGCAGACTCCGACTGGGTCTCGCAAGATTGGCAGGGGCGTCCGCTTCAACGCAAGCACCACCACTTCCTCCTCTGCAGTATCCCGCATCTCCTTTCTGGAGCTGGAGGGGACCAATGCCTTCCTCCTCGTCATCGAAGGGATGGAGCAGCAGCAGCAGCAGCAGCAGCAGCAGCAGACATACTGCGGTCCGCTGTCCTCCACATGCCCGGACGTGTCGCAGCCGATAGCCGTGAAGGTGAAAGTCAGCTCGTGCTCTTCCTTGGCTCATCAAATGATCCCCGAACAAGACAAGAACGTCAAGGAGTCTTCCTTTCTCGACCTCTCCCTCCTCGACCTTCCCTTCTTCCGCAGGACTTACACTCGCATCTCCGGCAGCACCATGAGCTGCTTCATCAGCCTTCCCCTCTATGCGCAGTGGCTGCTGGCCTGGGCCGCGATCCTCGTCTGCTTCTCCTGTGCGCTGGCTCGCGTCCTTGTACGTCGGAGGAACCGCCAGAAGAAGGCGATGGAGGTGCAAGAGAAGCTGGGAGAGAAGGAAGAGAACGCTGCTAAGAAGGGAGCGAAAGTTGAGGAGGAGCAACAGTTGCAGGACGCATCAAAGATGGCGAAGAAGGTTCAGGCCAAGAGGTTCGACTACAGGTAAGGCTGCAAGATTCTCCCTCATCACTTTCTCATCATCATCATCATCATCATCATCATCATCATCATCATCATCATCATCATCATCATCATCATCATCATCATCATCATCATCATCATCATCATCATCA